CCATGCTTTCCACAGCATTAGATCTGTCACAATTTAACTGGAAAGAGATTTCAGTTACAAATAGGAGAATGCAGTTTGAGTGCTATAGTTTTTTCTCACTAGAGAGCAAGTTCTTTTAAAATACTTCTTAAACAGTGTTTAAGTTCCCAATTACTGCCTGAGCTGTTCGTTTTCTGTTTCAAATGTAATGTAGTATACTACATTACATTTGGAGAAAAAAAAAGACGACAGATGGACTTCATGCTAGATATTCAGTAAATCCATTTACGATTTACTCAGCACCTTACTAACAACTTCAGATTCTGATAAATGATACTGTCTCCAGAATTGGTACCATGCAATGTGCTAGCAGTCAAACATGTACATCATCAATCTAACAGTATTGTGTGCAATGAATTGTATGAATCAGGGAAATAAATCTTGAGAATTTTTGGGTTAAAAAGATTTTTAAACTAGAGGAAGCTGTAAAGTGATCAATGATAAATGAATCAAAATGGTTGCGAACAACTGTTAATTATCAGCTACTATTGGATAAAAATTCTGGATCTGAAAAAAACAAGTTGAAGCATCTTCAAGTTTTATACCTGCTGTAGTTAGCAAAAACTCACTTCCTTAGTTTAGAATGACTTCAACTGAAATCAGTAACAGAGGGAGGTAATGAAAAGCTATTAAATAATTGTTTACCTCATTCTCGTTATGCTGTAAAATTTCTGGTCCACAATATATAGCTCGTTGTACTGTTACATTTCTATCATTATCGGTGTTTGTCATCTTTGAATTTAATCTCATCACCGAAAGCAGCCTTGAGAGTTTCGGATTCCAACACCTCGGTTGTTTCTCCATAATGTCACGAGCAAAAAGATGCTTCCATATAATCCATAAAACAAGAGCAACTGTCAAGATGAAAAACAAGATGCAAATAATGGCAATTAACGACCAGAAAACTTTCCATTTCAATGAAATCGATATTCTCTTCATCAAAAATTGATCGCAACCTTTACGAGCTCCTTTATGTCGGACACTTTTGAAAATCTGCAAAATCCGAAGATCGAATATGCACTCAAAAATTCATTTTGCAACAGTGTGACACCTTTCACGCTAACAGTTCAAAAATGAACCAAAAAATAAATGCATGATATGCCATATTATAATGTCGTTATCACTTTGCCCTTATCACACAAATATTTTATTTTTTCAGTGGAATTATTCTTTCATAAGAAAAACACATACCTGTTGTGATAATAGATTTCTTTCCATTATGTCAAAGTTTTGTGCCTGATTATTTACAATAAACCGCCTAAAGCACCCGCTAAAAGCAGTTGAGTAATTCTCTGCATCGTAACCCAAAGAAAATGATAACAAGGAACTCGAAATCAGAGTCGGTAATTGCTCCTCAGATCGAATTTCCTTTCCATGTCCATCGATCTGTGATCACCAAATAAAATTTAAGTAAAATTTGAGGAAGAAATGATTTGAAAAATGGACCAAAGTCAAATAAAAGATGTAAATGCTATGATAAATATTTTGCAATGAAAATTCCTGATTTTGTTTTTCAGAAAACCTAAAAGGTCAGTTTCAATTGTACACAAGTGCTAGTGTTTTCACCCTCATTATTATGAGACACATGGTGACAACAACCAGCAATTCGTATTTCTTTTTAAAAAAATCATTCTAAATTACTTCGACTCTGAAAAGTTTCTGATCCTCGCTTATCTGAATGCTGAGACGATGCCATTCAGTATCATCAAGATCGCTTGAAATGTGTACTTCTATTGGTTGAGCGTCTCGCATCTTCGCAATCATATGAGCTGATCCGTTCATAAGCTGAATGTGAAATAATTTACTAGTCATGTGAAGTTTAGTCCCAATTTTTCTAGGAAATTCTCGAGATTTGGAAAGATTGTTAACTTTAACATTCCAAAACCTGAGAACCTTACTGTAACTCTACTTAATCCCTTCACCTCAATTTTGATGAATCGCTTCTCTTCAACTATAGCAAGAATAACGGTATTTCTGACTGCAGTCCTGAAGTCAAGTTCCATCCATTGAGCAGGAATATCATCCAATATGTCACCTTCTCTATAAAAATTTCAACAACATTATAGGTAAATTAAAGCAATAGTTTACTGCATGTATTCATGTTAAACATCAGTATTAAAAATCATGGCATCCTTCTTCAATCAGCTTATTTTTTTAAGCTTTAATATTCTCAAGTTTTTGTCTTGCAAATTCAGCAAAAGATCCTACTATTTATAATTCGGTATTTAAAAAAAAATAATGTGTAGAGGCTAACATTTCTGATTCCTCACACGGAATTTCTCGCAGTGGCTCCTTCTCATCATGGATGGCACTACGTCCATGTTTCTCAGACGGTATTTGTATAGCAGTGTTGCGTTTTGCGAGCTCAATTTTCTGCCTCATGTACATGGATAATTCAAAAATAATTCCACCGCTTTTAACATGCCATGGTTCCATTGCTAAAAACTTTGCGACATTTTGAAAGGAGCGCTTCTGGCCGTGTACGGTATTACTGTGTAATTATTAACCTTTATGGCAATTCAACGCATCGAAACCATCTCTACAAATACATTTTCTATCATTTTCGTCAATGACGCAAACGCCACCAGAACATACATCGATATCACCATCATCTGCGCATGTTTTCCGTTTATCTTTGTCAATTACATTTTCCTCTAACAAGCCGGGAATTCTATCAATTTCATGCTCATTAATTGTAATTTGACGCATGCAACCCTCAAAATTGGCAGTACCGTCCTGGAAAACACATATCCTATAGGATTTAAGCGCAAATTTGATGTACCTCATTCACCGGTTCAGAGATTTTCTAGAACTAACCTATGATTCTTCACATAAGAAAAGATAAGAGACCATTCCAGAAAATTCAAAGCCATCCATAATATTTATTTTGATTGAATTTCCTTCATTAAACAATAAAAATCCTAATAACAATAATTCTTCTGAGATTTCTAGCTGCTCCAATTAACGATAAAGAATTTTAGTTGCACGAACAGAAGAACCTGTTTAGTAATGATAGCCGAATTGACGGAATCTTTCACTCCACCAATATATACAATTTGTTCTCCACTGGATGTCGAAATGCTAAAACTTACTCATAATATATGGCTGGAAAAAAGATTTAATTAATGATTATTTCTTTATTTCTCCAACTTCCAACTTTAATCTTTCTAAATGTTTAGAATGTGCTGAAAAAATTTACCGAGTCTTGAAGAGTTTAGAAAAAGTTATCTGTATTAGAATTGTTTTAAAAAATTTCAATTATTTAAGTTTATTAAAGAAAAAATTTTATTTAAAAAAAGTTTATTTTTTTTATTAAAAATGAAATTTGATACAAATTAAGCAAGGAAGACAGACTCAAAATTATTTGCAATAGCAATACAGCGAGTGCTTTTGCATGGCTCACAGAAACCATCGTCGTCGCAGTGCTCAACTGTCAACTTCACTCTTCGATGTTTGTATTGGAAACGAATCATTTTCCATTTTCCGTCATTTACTTTCTCTTCCACCAATAATTCATTCATCTTTTTGCTTGAATTTCCACTTAGATGTACTTGACCATTTTGTAGTTTCAGTGTGAAATGAGGTTCATTGACCCCGGAAATTGTTAACGATGTCAACAACAAGCTTGACTGCAATGTAACTAAAACATAAGAGAGGCGGTACCTGTGACATTTCCATTTTCTATGAAGATAGTTTGAACAATAAGCTTTCATTGCAGAGAAAAAAAAAACTGGAGAGAAATTTCACCGGATTTAGAGTCCTGAATCCTTGTGTCAATATGAAAATTTGTTGAGGAAATGGAAACTGTAATAATGATGATAAACCATCGAAACAAAGAGTTTTTAACTGACAGTAGCGCCCACTATAACCATTATCACATTCACATAAACGTAGCCCATTATTCTGCTTAACGCATGTTCCTCTACAAAAGATCATGGTTAAAGGTAAAATGTCGGAATTAAAACTGATTGAGAACAAACGGGGTGGTCAAAACAAAAATGGCTATAACTTTCCAATATAGCCTTTAAATATCGTAATTTAAGAAAGGATATTTATTTGAATTAATTGACAATTAGTTTTTATTGCGAAGTATCTGTTAAATATCTTATTTGAAACATTATTATAAATCGCTATATAATGCATTAAATCAACGATAACATGACAAACCTGTGACAACGATCACAAATGTTAATATTTGAATGATCGCAGTGTATTTTACTTGCTGTGCCATTATCACTACACGCACAAACAAATGAACCAAATATATTTAGGCACTTCCCATTCCCACAAATATTCTGTAATAAAATCTCATCAGCTGTCTTTCAACAATGCCCATGTTTTCCAATCATAATTTATTTTACTCTGCTTTGATTCATTTTTAAAAATGGTTCTGAAACAAATACAATACCAAGATCAAACGTTGTTGAAATTTTACAGTTTCATTTACTTTTTAAACAAATAAAATAGCAAATGGTTAGTTATGAGACGAGTAAACAAGGACGACCTTATCCTCACATTCATCGATATCATTCTGACAGAATTTTCCTGTATAACCTTTGGTACACAGACATGTTCCCGTATGTGTGAAATGGCGGTACTTGTCAATACAAGTACCGCCATTTCTGCACTTTTCATTTTCGTCACAAACTTGATTGTCACCACCATTACATAGGATATCATGCTCGCATATACAGCTGTAATACAATATAAAATTAGGATGGTACACTGATGGACAAGGAAATAATGTATAATATATGCTAAAAGTGAGAATAGGAACAAATATCAGAAATGCTGGTGTCAAATATTTACTTTTGAAAATTAACTATCTAACGAACTTTAAGGACTTCCTAAACCTTTCAGTATGGTTTTATCCATATCTCGAAATAGTAGCCAAAAAAATTTCTTTCCTAACTCTCTAAAGAAGCAGTTACAATTCTATTTATAATTAACGAAGGAGAAACTTACTTTACATGGCTGATAACAACAGGAACAATAAAACTTGTTTTGTAGCCAATCAGTTCGAGTAATTCTCCATTCTTTGTGATATTTTGAGAACATCTTGTGCCGTAAATACATTGTTCAAAAGTGAGTGTACACATATCTAATGCGATTCGTACGAGATGTACATTTTTAGAAATCAGTTTTTCAGTGAAAAATTGCTTCAGTAGTTTCAATGCATTTTCTTTGTCTTTTGGAACTAAATCCTGATCCAGAATTGCAACAAAAACACGGAAAAAGTCAACTTCTAATTGCTGAAGGCCAAGAAGTTGAAGCATCTACAAAAAGTGAGATAAATGTTTTTCTTATGTTTCAATCTACTATGTCTCAGATCACTAAGCCAACTTCAAAAAATAAAACGCTTCGACGGTTTATAGTTAATTATTGTACTAATTCTAACCACAGCTGACGTAAAGAAACTTAACTACTTACATCTTCTAACTAAGAATATTGAAACATGCAAATGTCGCACCACATAACAGCTTTTTTCTAATATATCTTACCATATTTGGAAACATCTCTTCAAATGTAGAAATACTATCAGCTATACTCCCTTCAGCAGCCCATAATTCCACGATTACACTGAAATCACTAAGTAATGATCTTAGAGCGGTTTCTCGTCGCATTCGTAAATTTATTGGAAATGTTATATTTGTACGAGGATTGGAAGCTTCCACCAATAATGGAGTATTCAGAAGATATTCTTCTTGTAATAAACTTGATGATAGCTTTAACACACAACTGCCTGATATCTGCAAATGTTCTGATTAGATGTTACCAGACAATTTTTTAAAGTTTTTTTTTTTTTTTCAGTTTAATGTACTTCTAAAAGTTATGGATTTTTGTTTACTGGATATATTTTTACAACATACATTATAAGTTTGCGAAACATTTAGTAATCGACAACTGTATACGCCAACTTGGTCAGCGTCAACTGGAAATGCATGCAGGATTATCATGTCAGGAATTTCGCACAAATATCCTAAATTTATTGTTCGTGGCACCAGTTCTGGTTCATTATCATCCTGATCATCAACGTAGATCCGTAAGTGAATCATAGAGTGAACACTGGAGACATCCAAATCGTTGACCGTTATTGGCACAATATATAGCGAACGTTTTTCACGATCCAGAACCTCAGAAGTGAATACTACTCCAGTGGTATCATTGATAACAAATATCTTTAAAGAAATCTGAGATTAAATTGAGACTGTAAAGAAATCTTCAATTGTAAATTAAGAAGAATCCTGTGAATGAGATAAAATCATCATTTTTAATGCGAGAACATCTCTAATCGTAATTTTTTTCATTGAGATTTTATACTATCACCAATTGTGACAAAAATGGAAGTTATCTTCAGTCTATTTGAATAGAGAAAAGCTTCAAGTTGAAAGCCTCTCGCCAGTTTTAATGAACTTACTTATTTCTTGATGACGGATATTTTTCTATATTATTGTTCTCACCTATTTTTCAGACCGTAAAGGACGACATTTTGAGAAGCCTATCTGGACTGGCAACCTAACCCAAACAGTCATCCTGGTCCAAAATAATAATAAAGAATTAACAACCTGAGATAGTTCTTTGTCAGTAATTCGGTACTTGAATGACGACTGCTTTCGTAAAATATCACTATCCATCATGTGCAGCTTCATTATTGCTGTGTGTATTGGTGAATTCTCTAAGACATAACCAACAGAAGAGGAAGGATCCAGTGAAGGTCTATTATCATTTACATTATTCACTGTTATCGTGACTAAGGCTCGAGAACGTATGACATCATTCTCGATAAGAGCAATTTGTAAGCGGTAATCAACTTTTTGCTCATAATTCATCGTGCCGCATAAATAAAGTTTGCCGGGGTCACCAACACAGAAGGGCTGCAAAAAGTTTTATTTTCCTCTTGCTATTTTTAAATAGATCACAATAAAAAGCAATTTCTGCATACTATCAATTTTCTCCAGCAACCAATTTTTAAAAAACTCAATCAACAACTCATACCTTTTTGGATCTTTTTGGAAACAAGACCTCAAATTGTGGATCTTGCATAGATAAAATAATAAAACTGTTATCTACTTAGTTCAAAAATTGTTACCTGCTCAGTACCATATCCAATTCTTCCCTCTTCAACAATATCAAGGTAATATTCCTCAGGAAGATTTTCAAAAATAACGAAACTTCTTGAACTATCAGCATTTTCGGATAATAAAAACTTGTAGTGAGGCTGCAATATTGGCGGTGCTTCTGTATCCTTCCGTTCGATGAATACCTTACAACTATAATGAATCACTTCAAAAAAAATCAAAATGAGACATCCAAAAACTGAAGTAAACTCTGAACAAGTCATTAGTAGGATTCAAATAAGTGTTCTTCCAGGAAATTTTCGGCAACTAACACATTTGCTTCAAAATTTGTTCTTCGCAAAAATTGGCCAGTTGCAACTATCTGAACCATTATAGTTCCAGTAGTCCCATTCCAATTTTCTTTCACATATATTTCCCCTGTACGACCATTTATATCAACTAGATTACTTGAAGTCATACGATATAGAATTTTTTGGTAATAATTTCCATTCTGATAAATCGCTTCCGCTCTACCAATTATGGTGCCTAAATAGAATTTGTTAACCCAAAAAATAATTTAATGATTTTATGATGCAAAATAAATTTAAATCTCGGGTCACATTTCACCATGATGAAATTAGATCTTATCGATCAATCATAATTTTGGTTTAAACGAAAAACGAGTTGCTTGCATTCTTAATTCCAGGTACCTTTCAAAGCAAAAGCACTAATCTCGAAGTTTCGTTCCGTTTCTGCAAAATATAGCTCAGATTCTCCATCTTGCTTCACGAAAATTTCAACTTGTAAAACGTTATAATATGTTCCGTTTCGGTAACCTTCTGGAACTAATCCTGGATAATCCGAACTTGTGGTTCTGGGATTACTGGCCAGTACGCCAAATAAATATTCACTAGCTGTTCCGTAATGAAATTGAGAGGACACGTATAATGTGCCAGATGTAGCATTTATAGTAAAAGGTAATTCAGAATCCGAAAGCAGATGGTAGACGACAACAGCATTTGACTCTGAATCCACGTCAACAGCAGAAAAATGTGCGATTGTGGTGCCCACTGGTGAATATGCTGATATCTGAAATGATCGCTGAGCAGAATGCACCGTGAACCATGATAACACTATGAAGCGATGAATCACAATCTTTTAAAGAAATACAATGTTGAAGAATGCGCTGTTGACTGATTGCACCGATAGAGAAAGCAGAAATGTAAGATATAGAATATACCGTATACTGCACATAATGATTTTCAAACTCGGGCGCATTATCGTTTTCATCGAGCACTTCAACAGTAACTTCTGCGGTAGCGCTGAGTGCAGGGAAACCGGAATCTTTTGCTGTTATTAAAAATTGGTAGTTACTGCTTTCCTCGAAGTCTATGTATTCCGTTGTTAATATGGTTCCTAAACTCTTAGTGATCATAAAAATTTATAATAATTCTAACATACTCTCCAAATAATAAGTAAATAAATTTAACGCTGCACAAGTAATACATGTCAAGAATGTATTTCTCTCACTACCTTGTATCACTATCAACTCGATATAAACTGGATTAAACTGTTACATCAATTGAAAAACATAAGCAAAGAAGTTGGAATTGAAACCTGTTGTTGCATCAATTGCAAATGGTAAGCGGTCAGTGTCATAAACAATATGATAAGTTATGTAACCATTAAGACCTATATCAGGATCTTTTGCTATAACCATACCAATTGGTGAGTGCAAATCACAGTTTTCCTGGACCGAAAATTTATATCTGAAATAGTTTGATCAGTAGTTCTGTTTTTTCAGCTATAATTGCAATGTTTATGAGCAGAACAAAACTCAGATGCATTGCTGCATACCTGATCGTATCAGTTCTGCGGCCGACATGCATTTCACAAGGAAATGGTTCTGTTGACATATAATTATTTGAAAATGATTTATATAACTTCACCACCGTACAACGTCTTAGTAGTCATTATTGCTAGAAATTGTATGCTTTTCAAAATTTGAAAAGAGGATAACTTTTAGTTTTTCTTATAGTTACCTTTTAAATGAAAACTGCGGGTGGTTAATGTTTGGTTCAGTAAATTCAACGGAAATTATAGCTTTTATAAGTTTCTTATTATTTGTTGCAACAGAGAATATAATTTTATATCCTAATACAGCTTCCGGAAACGTAGCGTTTGTGAACAAATATCCATTCTGATCCACCATAAAACGGCTATCATTCACTATGGCCATTGTCTTAAATTTACAGAGGTGAAATTGAGGAATGAATAAATTATTAGAAAAGTTTTGAGGCAAAGCCATCTCAAGTAGAAAATTAGATACCAAAATTTCTCTTAGATATAGAAAATTTGGAGAATCAACCAACATTATATAATGGTAAATGACCAATTGCTGTATAAGGGTCAGCATTAAGAAGAAGCGCAAACTGGTAGTAAGGTTGTTCTGTTTCATTGCTCTTAGCAGAATCAGTGATGTGAATATAGATTGTGACCTGGAATAGACCAATTTTAACTAATAATTTGACCATTTCAAATAATAAAAATCACTCACATTATTCTTCATTGATGGAAATCCTTGATCACTGGCAACGCCCTTACATTCCACAGTATTATTCACATACTGCCCTAAGGCGGTTGTTGAAAAAATGAGTCCACTAGACGGTTCAACCATAAACAAATCATTGCCGCATCGCAAAGCGTAGCGAATTTGCCCATTTAATCCTTCATCCATATCAAATGCCAAAATTTGTCCAATTTCAGTAAAGATTCCCTGTAAACTTTGGAATGAAAACATTTTTTAAAAATTACTAAGAACCCTTAACAACATAAAATCTTTTAAATCAGCCACCAACTTTACTTCTAGCTTTATGTCTTTTGCAAGTCCTATTATATCTTAAATAAGTAATTGATATAAAGAAGGTTCTAAGTCTTCCAGACTTACTGAATCAGCTGCAATCGAAAATGTATAAAATGAATCGTTGAACGTGGGAGCATTATCATTAACGTCCTCTATGGTAATAGTTAACGGTGTTCGTACTTCCCACAGGCCATCCCATGCTTTCACTTTTATTGAATATTCACTTTTCTTTAAAATGAAAATTTCAATGTTCACATCAAAACAGAAGAAAATTTTCAACCAATGTCTTAATTGCAGTAGTAAGCACCTTTTCCCTGTTTCTTCAAGCAATGCTTTTACTCAGCAGATCATCCTATCCATGTTGATATTTTCTATACTTCAAGACTTTCTTCACAAACTATTTTAATTTTAACTGAACAAATGAGAAATGTTCCATTTCGTACCTTTTCTCGATCAACTTGTTTTGCCAGACTAATCCAACCCGTTTGTTGATCAATTGAAAAGTTATCAGCACAGTTACCTTCCAGACCATAGATAAGAGTACTGTTTACATCAGCGTCATAACATATTACCTGGATAACAAATTTTCGATAATAATCTGAAATACCAAACATAAAGAATCACATTGTGACTAAAGCCCTCACCTGAAGTATTAGTGTCCCCAAACGGCTATTTTCCGCAACTGCACCATGAAATAAATTTGAAAAACGCGGCGCATTATCGTTTCTATCCAGTATTTCAATCTAATGATAGAAATTAAGGGTAATTAATATCAACAGCATTTTTTTGTATTTCATTCATTTAATTACCGTTATCAACATGACAACATAAAAAATCAGCTAGTAATTTCAAATAACAATCTATACAAAGGGAACGAATCATAATTTAATCGATTGAATCATTCTGATTCAGTTTTGAAAAAAATATTTGGAAAACTTGATCAACTTAACATAGAGTAAAACAGCTTTTACAAAATGCCAACAAAATCGGATTAAAGTGGTTAAAAAACATAATTGGAAATAGTCAATTGGATGGTCAGTCGATTTGACCACTTACTCATTCGTAAAATCATTATAAAATGTAATTCATAAATCATAGAAATAAGCAAAACCTTTACAACCACCATCTCCGACAATTGTGGATTACCATGATCTTTTGCAATAACGTGCAAATGATACTCATTTAACTCTTCGGCATCCAAACTGGAAGTAGTAAAAATTTCTCCCGATACTTCATTGATTTTGAAATATTTCTGTGCAACCGAATCACCTGTCATCAAACTGTATGAAATTTTCCCATTCATTCCAGAATCCGAATCTTTGGCAGTAACTTTTATTATCAGTTCATCGCTGTCACCGTTCTCTGCTACTGAAGCAGAATAAAAAGCCTGAAAAAAAAATGAAATTTATCTTCATCTTTTTAAATTCGAAAATAAATGCCCTTACAAGTTATAATCGTTACAAAGAAAATGCAATTTTGTTGCGCTTCCAACGTATTTGTATTTATACCTTAGACTTTTGTTAAAAATGAAATAAGTGAAACCTTCTCAAAGAAAGGCCTATTATCATTGATGTCTACAACATTTACGATACAATTTGTGTATGAAATCATTGGTTGAATATGTTGGTCGATAGCAGCAATCCACAGTTCGTACTGTTTTCGATATTCATAATCTATTCGATTCCTTAAATTTCAGTTAAAGATATGTTTAATAAATAAAAAATAAAATATAAAAATATTTATAAATAAAGTCAATAAAAAATAGTCTAGTTCTGGTCGCAAATTCTTAGCTATGTTAAAAGTATTTGTCAATAAATATGTAAACAAATGAAATGTAAATCATCGTCTAAGAATTAAAACTTATTTCTGAAGCAGCAAAAAGTTGATTCCAGAAACAATTCATAAACTTAAAAAACATACGTAGCATACAATTCTCCCGAATTAGGATTTAGATAAAAATGATGGTGCGGGTCACCACTGAAAATCGTAAATAATATCCCTCGACTGGATACATTAACCGACTGAGCGATAAATTTTGTTACCAACATGTCCGGATTATGCTCAGTAGCCGTCAGTTCTTGCTGTGAACGTTTCTGAAAATTTGTAGAACCCGTGTTTAAGATATACACAATGAAGCACTTTTGGAAAATGAGAGTCTTCTGAAAGGGACTTTTAGAATTTCACAACTTAACTATTAAAATCAAAGTGAGTGAATCTTGTTGATCAAATGGATTATACAAAATTCGTTGTAAGAACTAATACCCAAGCAACGAAAGCAGATCAAAAAGTAAAAAATAAAAACACAGAGAAGATTCATATTTTAGAACTGAATAAAAATTTTTGTGAATGTTTTGAAAACATGACAGATTACTTCGAAAACGGGGAATCTCATAGTTTCGGACACGTAAAAGGCTAATCCAACAGATGAGGTTAAGTTTCCATGATCAGAAACTATTGCAGTGATTGAATAATCTTGCTTAAGGAGTTGTCGTGTAGCAGTGATGATACCACTCTGACTGATTTGGAAATATGATACATCCGGACCACTAAGGCTATAGTACAAAGTATCATTTTCATCCAGATCAAGTGCCGATATTACATATATTACATCATCTGGAATGATGTAATAATTTGTCAAATAACGATATTATTTTATAATTCTCAGATTCTAATAAATCTCAACCTGAAGTACTTGTGAACTGAGTAAGAATTTTTTGATTTCTTTTTTTTCTTGCACTTATTCGAATACTGCTTTTGCTTTAATGTAATTTCTCGAAAATTCATTGCCCTATGTTGGAACTCAGATAAATGTAGTTGCTGATTAGTACAAAACAATAGTGCTCTAGTAGAACTGTTACATTAATTCCTCATTTCTCTGCTAAATTCACAGTCATAGTAATATTTCTTGTTGTGACTGTCGAAAGTATAATTTAGTAAAAACCACTTCAATATACTTTTTTCAACACTGTTTGAGATGAATACATCAAGTTGTTCATTAAGAATTATAGGAATATTATCATTCTGATCCAGCACTTCAATTCGTACTACTGCAGCACTCGAATGTTCCACAAATTTCCCATTATCGTGAGCTATCACTTTCAAGATCCAATGCGACTGGGATTCACGATCCAGTACTTCTAGTCTTCCTATACATCCTGTTGTTGAGTTGATGAAGAATGGTAACAGTTCTTCGTTATCAAGGCTGTACCTGCATTGAGAAATTTTGCACTTAAATCTAAATCAAATTTGTACTAATTTTTAGTTGCTTTGAGTTACCTTAAATAAAGTTTAAGGAAAATGTGAAATTTCAATAAGGTGTAGTGCAGCACCGAATTCGTTGTGCTGAAGCATCTAGGAGTTGTTTTACTTATACTACCAGTTCATAACAATTTTAAATAGCGATTCTGCACAAAAAAAAAAAAAAAAAATTAAAATCTTTTTTATAAAAAAGAGTTGAAAACTAAAATTAAGAAGGATTGGATGATAGAAGAATAAATTTGATTATGCATTTTATAGACAAATGATTGTACAATAAATGACAAGCGATGTGGCTATGGCTAATACGATAGTAATGAAGAGGAAATTTAATTTTAAAATTATGAATAAAAGTAATGCAAGAAGATATGAGTATCATAGATTTTTAAGGCAGTTTATTCCATATGATTTAAAAATCTCTAAAAAATCTTCACCTTATCATTGAGAATTCTCGGTCATCTTTATCTGTTGCCTTCAAACACAATAGTGTTAAATTCTCTTCAACAGGCTCATTTTCCATCACTTCAACGTAGTATTGAGGATACTCGAAGATTGGTACATTGTCGTTTACATCCATGACTAATACAGTAACCGTACTTATTGTGTTGAAGCTTCTCGGAACAGTTAGGTCATTTGCTTGCACAACCAATTCATATCGGTCCTGCATTTCGTAATTCAGTGGTCCTGTGATTTGTAGTTTGCCTGTTTGTGGTATCACCCGAAACAGCGTGCTATTACCCTTAAAAAATTGATGACCTTTTATCAACCTACGAGGATAAAAAATATTCGAGAACTTCAAGAATCTTTTACACCTCCCTTTACACTATCCTTTTCTGATTTATAGTGACAGAACTAATGTCATTAGTTTTCATCAACGTAACCCACAATCCAGTTGTCTCATTTCGATTATTATACCATGGAGTATGAGAAGAAGATACCTGAATGAGTGAATAAGATAACGTTCCGTTCAGTCCTCGATCTGCAGTAATAGCTCTCAGTGTTCCTATAGTAATTGGGTATGTCCCTTGCATATTTTCACCAACATATAATATTATGTCAACACGGCCAGGAAATTGAGCAGTTTTAACACCAATATTTAAAACTTCAATTAAAACGATGCTGAAATTAATTTAATACTGCCTCATTTTAAAAGCATTTCATAAGAGCAGCATTTATGACATCAGTTATTTGCTAATCTTTTTAGTATAACTTTTTAGAAACGCATTCTTTTGTAAAACACAAAGGAACCGCAAAAATTATTACTTTCATTACCTACAGACAATGACTTTCAATCGATTCAGCTTTTAGTTTTCCTCTTGCATGTAACATCATCAAATTCAGTAAAAAAGCAATAATTTCCAGTAATATTTACAAAGTCCTTCGACAAATATTTGGATTGTCCTAGTAGTGAATGATGAATAATCTACATGATCAAACTTTAATTAGATTTCTATTATAATAATTTGGCTAACACTCTCGCTATTAAAAACTAAATGCTTCTTTTTAAATTACACCTGCTCTGCTTTCTAGTATTATTGCTTGATAGTATCGAAACCGTTAAGTTATAACTCGAATTTTTGGCAGCATTTAAGCGTTTGTTTGTCATGATTATCCCGTTTGTGGGAGATATTCGAAAATAGTCGTCTTCATTTCCAGATTTAATTTCAAACAGAACATTTGTCATAGTGTCCTTAAACAAAGGATGTTTGCCTCGAACATTAGTGGAAAAAGCAAAAAATTATTTGTGATTGATGAAAAATGAATTAGGAGTTTAATTGAAGTTTTTCTAATGAAAACAGATGAGTTTATTCTCGAGTTTCCTTGAAATTTCATCTAATACAGAAGTTACTAATTGGAAATCCATTGATTCTAGTGATAAACCATTACACTGCAATTATACGATTGAGATGAGAGACTTATGAGAGGGATGAGATTGATCGAGAAAAACTTTTGCATAAGATATGTTCTAAAAATAATTGAATTGAATGCGACATACAGTAATTTGAGACACAATATGGCCAACTGGAACATTTTCTGGAATCTCTATATGGTAAAAGTTTCTCAGTCTCGGTGATTCCTTGTTACTAGCTAGTACTGTCACAGTTACTGAAACAACTGTTGACAACCTCCTTGGAACACCACAATCCTTTGCTTCGATTAGCAAATGGTAATTTTTTTGCTCTTCTGCATCAATCGGGTAGTGCACCTGAGGAAAACTAAATGTTGGTTTAGTTGAAATTCAAAACTTTTGAGGATTACTCGTCTTTAATTGTCATCATTGAAGTGATAATTAGTACTACTTTACATTGCCTCCTATTTTTTCTAATTTTTGACTAAGTTTAACATTTCTTCAGCATTTTAATTATTAATTGAATTCACCGTGATTAGTGGTAGTTTTAACGAAACACATCGAAATGATATAGAGGACAAAACTTTGCATCAAAAGAGGTACCAGCAGATATCCGAGAACTGGATTTATCATAAATAAGCCTTCTGAATTTGACCATGGTAAAATGCGATATTGCAATTGTCCATTATGACCCATATCAGGATCCACAGCATGAACTAGGCCTACTATGGTACCAGACGTCGCTCTTTCGGAAATGAAAAAAGCAGACGGTGAAACAAATTGCGGCGCATTGTCGTTTACGTCCAGAACTATTATTTTTACTGTAGTTGTTGCTTTGAAAGCTAAAACATAAAGTTGTATTCACTAAGTGCCTTGGAATGATTAATTTAAATTTGACTGTCTGAATTCAATTTTACACAATGATCTCACCAATAAACATATTATTTACTTCTTTTCCTATATATAATGCATGACTCCAACATACGTAATTAGAAGATTTAAAATCAAAATTATAATTCATCGAAAACATTAGCTATCTAGTCAATTACTGATCTTGAGTGTTTCTTCATGTTACTATCGTCTTAGTTCGTCATCATAATTCATAGATAAAATCATAATTAAAGTTTTTTTACTATGTCGTATTTTCAACTAGATTGAGATTAAATCAGCGCAAAATTACCCACTTTTTTCTGGAGGTCTCTGATCATAAACAACAATGTGTAAGTGATGAACAGCCATGTACTCCCGATCAAGAGGTGTTCTGAGAAAAATTCTCCCATCAGGTTTAATTCCGAACCAGCCCCGCTCATTACCAATTACAGAAATTTCGAAAACGAATTCATTTACTGAAGAATTTCAAGAAATTAAACAAAACGTGAAATTATGGCTGCAATTGCAGCAATATTAAAAAAACAAATTAAAAAGTAGTTTTTGACTGCAATCACAATAATGGTGATTTTCTTGGTGATGCTTTGAAAAACAAACCAGTATCCAAATCAATAACTTCAAGTTGAATGATCACTTCACCGACTGGAGCATCTTCATAAACTTTGACTTCATAATTATTAGATTTAAATTTCGGTGCATTGTCATTCTTATCAATAATATACAGAAAAATTTGACATCCCACTGATGCACCCCCTATTCTATGGGCGATTGCCTCGAACTGATAAAGATTTTCCTGAAAATTCAAGATTTTATGAAAGAGATAGAAAGAATCAAAAGAATACTGTATGTAAACTTCAAACACTTTAAACAATTAAAAAAAATTGGACTTTCTACTTCAAACAATTATTCTAAAATTGGAAATCAACTTATTTTTAATTTGGAGATTGTCTTACTTTTTTACATCCAAGCATAAAATCAAGTGCAAATGATATACTTTTTCAAAATCAAATGGGGCAGTGGTACTTATGATTCCAGTATTACTGTCCATCGATATAGCAGCCGGATTTCCTTGAAGCGTATAGCGAGTAAGATTATTGTCATCTGACATCAGAATATCAACAAATGTCCCCGAAGGCGAATTTTCAGGTACCATCAAATCAATACGATTTTGCAAACAGAACAATGCATTATTGTCTACTTGAGCGACGATAATGAGTACAGTGACTAGTTTGGATACCTCGTTGACTTTATTTGTGACCCTGATATCAAGATAAGTCTCCGATATCTATAACAAATATACAATAGTTGTAATTCTTGTGAAAGTTCAAATTTTTACTTCATTTAATAGATCTTTACTATTTAACTTTTCAGCAAGTTAGTTAACTTACATACCCTCATTTCATTTCTTGTCCGAATCACTCCAATTTCTTTGTCAATTTCAAAATTATCACTCTCGCTGAGCATCTCAAATTTGATTGCTTCTCCACTGCCAATTTTCCCTACAGTAGATCCCACTGGCACTCCTTCTTTAATCGTGAATTCATAATACGAATGAAGATTATCAATACTGCTTTCTTCACCTGTTACTAGTAATTCTATCTGAAATTTCATTTGATATAACCTTTGAGGAATTTCTATTAATTACGAATGGTTGTTGCAAAAATTATTGAGATCTTCTAGTTTTTTGCTGTACAGTTAAAAAAAAAAACTTGATTGGATTTAGACATCAAATATTTTGATGTTCACAACTGGCATTCTGAATATTTCGATTTTTTAAAAGTTGAAGGGAAACATGTTCTTTTAAACTATGTCCTTCTGAGCTTTCATTTTATTTAGAGAAAATGTGCCCTATCGACCTTGATTTAATTTCAAAATTCGAATAAAAAATTCATCATTATCGAGGGAATAATTTGCGTTCGTTTACCATTTCATCAAACCTTCCCCTACCATACACATGTGCTGGTTGACATTTCCATGACAACAAAATTATGAGTGCTCCGAATAAGATGTTTTAAATCACTTTTTTGAATGAAATTATGCTTGAAATCAGGATTGTTTCTGCATCTTTAAATTGAATTCTATGCATAAAATGGACGGAACGGACAACCTAAGCTTGACTTCTTCCTATAATAAAAGAAATGCGTTCATATAGCACAAAAATTGATATAATATCTTACAACTTTATCAAGCAAATCATTTCTCAATTTGAACGTATGTTGTAGGCAGGTTATTTAATATGGAGAGAGATACCACAACCTTATTTTAATTACTTTTAATGAGTGAAAAGGGAGCATAAACAACGCCAACTTCTCATATATATATTTGATTGATTGTCCTTAAAATCTGTATAATTCGGCTATTAAACTAATTTAATTGGAACACTCGTTAAATGCAATTTCATCAGACTGAAAACAACAATAAATTTCAGCAATTGTTTGTGTGATGAAAACTTGCTGTTCACTTACGGCCCATTAATCGAATGTTTGATTTCTTTTTGAATCATTTTCTCTTCTATAATTGCACCTTGCTGTGCCAAGGATGGTAATTGAAGGTTGCTTAATGTGTTTTAGACATTAATTTGAATTTTTTGCAGCTTTATTATAGAGACTAAAAGTGATTACTCCAACAGTTAAATTTGTTGATTTCGGAGTAATCTACACTAAATCTTAATCACAATATCATCATTTCCTGTTAGATAGATTTGATTTAGATTTGTCTAATAATTAAAGGAGACAATCTGTATTAAATAAATAAAAAAAAACTGTTACTATTCCTTGCTGGGCATCGATTTCTCAGCATTTCATTTAAAAATTTAGGACATACTGATTTCTTCGATTCAACGAGCTCATCAAATAGAGCAAATGAATTGCTTTAATATATGATTGATTATAAGAATTCAATTTTACTTTTGAATAAACAACACATAAATTTCTCACACTGATCTCTCATTCTTATTCTTAGCAATTGGCTTTCTGACTAAAATCTCAGCAACTATTAATTTGGTGTGACTGTTGCCTGATTTTCCTGAACGATGATGTAATTATAGAAAACAGAAAAATATGCAATCAGAGAATATGGTAAAGTGAGGTTAGGAGGAAATACATACCTTCCGTACGGGTGATTAGAGATAATAGGTATTGATTTCGTTTTTCAGTAAAAACAAAATGACAAGTGAGGAAAAAAAACACACTTTGATTTTCATTAAAATACTTATCAAGCTCGACTTCATAATCTCGATCGAGCTTTGATTCTCAGTGATGGTAGAGACGAAGTAAGTGAAAAGCAAATGAAAATTCATTAGAATTAGTGAAGCAGGATACTAGAAAAAGGATCCAGTCTACAATTAGTGTGATCGTTTTTGATTACAAAAAAATTTTAAGTGAAATCTAATATAAATAAAAATTGATAAAGTAAACAAAACATACCCAACTTTAATCTATCGCTTTGCAAGCTCCTTGTAAATCGCAATAATTAATTTCTTTTTCTTAGTTACTATTACTGTTCATAAAATTTTTGAAGATTAAATTTTAATGAGTTAAACTAAGTTAAACTGCTGATAATAAGTTTTTTGCAAGACTGAAAGATTCTGCAATTTATGCCTTACTTCCCTTTATAATCTTATCTCATTCTGGTGTTAAAGTGTAGTGTAAGTTTAATAGGAGTGCCTTAAGGCTGATCTGTTTTGAATCAAACGCTTCTAAGCTCCATATGTATTAATCCTTACAACTAACATATTCACGCTTGAGTAAACACTATAGAAATTGAATGACCTGCGACATAATTAATAGACATTAAGTAAGACTGATCACTTAGAAGAGGAATTTTGCTTGTGTTGAGATAATCAGATTTTGTAGAATTACGGGAAATAAAATAAAAATTAATTAATAAACCATTTCTATTCTACCAGATGCTTCAGATTTCGCGAATGGATGATTCATAGGAAAGCACCAAGAAGATAACTGACGGAAGTAAGATCTACAATTAAACCTATCGTATCACTATTTCCTCCATAAAAAGCATACAGTTCTAGTTTGCTTTAACATTAAATCTCCGTTGGATGTTCAAAAAGATTTGACGATACCAAAATTAGTTACTGTAATTATCTTTTATATTTATAACTAATATTATTAGTTTTTGCAAGGTCTGGACTTTTCGTTACACTTCTTTATAATTTTAAGTTGGTATGAATCGAATAGAATTTCTTTCTTACTTCATTCAGATTGTTTACTCAACTTCTGTGTCCACTTCCATTACTATAAATGTTGACAAACAAATAGTTTGATCAATAAGTGGACAGGAAACAATATGAACATAAGGTCCATTTGATCACTCTAATATAAATGACTCATTGAGATAAAGTACAACTTGACAGGGTATTCTTTAGTCAGCATCAGTGTGAAAATTCACACCTTAATGTTGAAATATTATCGAATTTACGAAAACGAAAGTAATTATGAAAAATCATGGAACTAAAGAAGGAGAAAATAGAATAACAGAAATGTTCAATCATTTTAAATTAACATTTCGAAATTCGCATTTTTCATTTCTAGTTGATGAAACTGACTTCTGAATCAAAAACACTCCTTTTCAGGAGTTATTAAAAAGTTAGCTGAATAAATTAGTTTAAAGACCTCAACATGCAAAACTTTCATAAATTTATTCTCTGTCTGAGCCAAATTAAATGATCCCTATAACAGAGAAAATCTGTGAAGTATGTCAATGTCCATAAAAGGTTTATAACCACTGATTTTTCAATATTCAATGTTTCATATAAAGGTAGTTGTATAGGCTATTGAGGAATAAATGATGCATATCAACCCTCAGCATTTCAGCCATCACCAGATGTCCTCACATACAATTGGACGACAACACAACAAATGACAAAATCAACAAACTGCACATTATAAACACACGCATGATCGAACAAGTGCATACAGGGACATCAATAGGACGAACAATAGTGTCGAGACAGCAACAAATTTATATTTGCATATAAATGACATCGCGTCTGTGCTTTGAAGTTCTAGATGCGCATTACCACACATATCAATCTCAACAAACTAAGGTAAACAGCGAAAGGCGAGATAGAATGGGGAAGCAAATATTGACCAAATATACGAGTAGAATATGTTAAATCAGTCATGCGGTCTTAATTTTAATGTGTTCAAATATAGAATCAAGAAAGATAAAGAAAAAGAGAGAAAAGATGTTTTTTATCTCACCAAATCATTTTCACGAGTACTTGTTAATACTCTAGTAAATTTCTTTCAAAAACAAAAAAAAAAAGAATTCCGAGACACTAATGTAATGATAATGTAATTTGTCGAATAGATGGTGCAATTATTCATTTTATCAGTTAATTTGAAATTTATTTTACTACAGTTACAAATATTCATGGAAGGTTTATTTAACAAAAGTAAACCTACTGCAATTGTCTTGGTGAATCCTTCTGACAGTAGCGTGATTTCCATGCTCACCAGATGATCATCCGGTTTCTGGTTAATTTGCAACTGTCCAGTTTGACGATCAATATCAGCCCACTGCACGCTATTCACATGTTTCTCATTTTTAAATGAGGTAGTAAAATATTCAACTTTAGCGCCAGTTTTCGCTATTACGGTACCAAATACCGTGCCAAGTTGGATGTCTCGGTCAAGCTGATACCGCTTCTTGAATTCAACTGGTGCTTCCAGCCTTGGATTAATCGAGATCAAAATATAGTGAAGCTCAGTGGTCCTTCGTAATTTATCGTCTTCAAATCTAAACCATTTTTTACTGAAGAGTAATTCGAAAAAGAGAATTCTACATCTCTTGCTTTTCTGAATGTAAACTTACCTATTGTTAGTGTTTCGATCGTAAACCAATACAGAAAAATACTTCGGATCGCCTGAGAAAGAACTGACTATGAAACCACTGTCGTTTATTTCAGAAACTATTTCTGGACTCTCCATAACTTTATAACCAATTGTTCCGTTCAAACCAGTATCCCTGTCTAAACAATTCCATGGGACGAACGATGACTCAGAACCAACTAGAACTGCTTTGGTTCCAAAGCATTCTGGAGAATTATCATTTTCATCATCTACTTGAACTGTAATGACCATTGACTTCAAACCATCACTTTCAGCAACAACCAGACGATAAAAGTCCACTTGTTCACGATCCAACACATCAATACAAATCAAATTCTGTTGTTGGAAGAGAAATGCTTTCCCAGCTGGTATTTGACGTAACAACTGCAAATCTCTCCCCAATGTTTCTATTTTGCCACATACTTCACCAACAATATTGTTTTCCTAAAAATGTGATATTTGGTAAGCTCCAAGATAGATTTCAAGTAATATAAAAATTTATCATATACAAGATTAAATGAGTGAAAAGGCGAGTCGATTTTGTAATAACGGAAATAAAAATGAAAGAAAGAGTCAAATCCACCTGAATATGAATTGTAATCGTATCCATATCAGAGTTTCTATTCCTTTTGTCCACTAGCATAACTCCAAAAGTTACACTATTAAAAACCGATATCGTTTCAGCTTTAATTATCAATTCAATTCGCTCTCCAATATATTCATCTAAGTTTTTCATTAAAAATATGCTTCCGTCAGTAGAATCAATCCAAAACAATCCGAGATTGCTTTGAATACTACTTGAATGACCATAACTTAACGAGTACAGTACTTCTTGATCGCATGCAACTGCATGTATTCGAGTAATCATTTGTCCAACTAAACTGTTGTCAATCTTAATATCATTGTTTGGATAACTTGTAAAATTAGGTGTACAATCTTTTTCTGCATCACTGTGAATGAAAACAAAAGTTGCATTAGAGAGTGGAGGAATGCCTCTATCTGTTGCAATCACGGTGATGTTATAAACATGACTTGGTACCACAGAACCATTCCGTGTGATGTCACCTGTACTTTCATTGATCTAGAACTAATAAGCATTTTAGATTATGGAAAGGTTGAAATCAAAAGCCTACGGCTAAATTTAGATTCGAACAACAAATAAGCTTGCAAATCAGTAAAGTTAAATATAAATCTAAATAAACAAAAATCGACTAATATATAGGAATAACAATAATAATGTAATTAATGAAAAAAGAGCCCAAAAAATCCTGAAAAATCTCAACCAATAACCTTAAACGGCACCCATTTCTGCTGCAGTCTGTATCTAACTTCACCATTTAGAGCAGAGTCCAGATCTTGCGCCACTACTCTACCGACGAAATAATCTCCTGCATTTGGTGAAATATCGAAATGATAAAATTCCTTCTCCCAGTACGGTACGTTGTCGTTTGAATCTTCCACTTCAACCACTACCGTACAGTTTGCTTTTAACAAGCCTCCATCCGTAATAATGACGGTTAAATTGTGGAATTGAGCCAATTCGAAATCCAACACCAATAATGTTCGGATCTAATGTTTTATAATGAACCTCTGGTGATATCTAACAGTAAGGAACGCATGAAACAGTTCTTTAAAAAATGTTGAAATTTTAACATAAAGTCATTATTACAGTTTTGCAAATTATTATGGACAGGAAAAAAAAAAAAAAAACTTTAAAAAATGATTAGCATAAAAACAGAAAGTTAATCACAGTAAATTGAACATACAATTCCAGTATGAGGATCAATGCTGAACATTCTCGTCGTATCATATATCATTTCGTACAACAACGTCCCATTTGGATCACTGTCATCGTCAATACCATTAAAAAGTCCCACAATTGCACCAGGGATGTTATTTTCGAAAATGATGAATTTATTTTTGTTAGGGCATTGAGGTGCGTTATCATTAATATCCTAAAACCAAAGTAAACTAACATTTGAAAACTACTTATGGAAATTTCTTTCTAAAATACAATCTGCTTGAAGATTTTAATTTATGCCTGACTAATAGCAAGTTTCAAAATGTCGTTAATTTTACTGAAATGATTTGTCATTTAAAATAGGTCTTTTATTTACTTTTAATCAAATTAAGTACAAAATAGCTATTCGAAAAGAGAACTTTTATCCAGAGAATGCGGGACAGCTAAATTTTACCTCTATATAGAGCTGGAGTAGGAATTCGTGCTTGTTTGGAACTGAATTTGAATTTTTGTATGAATTGAAAGCAGCAACAGAAATTGATAGGTAATTCATAATTTCATGGTCAATCTTAGATGCAACGAAAACTTCACCAGATGGAAGAATTTGAATTGGATGGTTTTCCGTAACTCCAGATGTTTGGAATTCAAAATGTTGGGTTATATTTTTGGGTGCTAAAGTGGTTATAATTGTTCCCAAAGGTATATTTTCTGGTATCGATAATGCGATTACTGGCGGAAATGAATAGAGCTGAAAGATAAATTGGCCATCACTAGCTTAAATTGATTTGGTCAATTAGAAGTGAAAAAGATAAATAAAATGAAGGGTTTATGTCATTGACGGAAGAAATGGAAAATATCTTCACTATTATTTTAGTATTTGCCCATCATTAATTAATGCATAATACTCAATGAGAAATTGAAGCTAGGAGATGGATGATTTCAAGTTAAATTAACTCATGACCAGTTGAACTGTACGTTCACTTCTAGTAAATTAAAACGAATTTCTGTCTGCTTGCTAAACTGTACTACTGTAATTTCGATAAAAAATGGCGTAATGATCATCAGAGGATGTAGTGAAATTATAGTTGCTTTAAGAACAAGAGAATTAAACCCGAAAAGGCACTAGTGAATTTTTGAAAGAAGCTCACTTCTTCATCTTCCTTGATTTCTACCACAACTCTAATAGTACTGTGTCGTGATTGTTCACCGCCATCAGTTGCCGTCACATGGAATTGCAACTGATTGAAACTATTAGGAAATTTCACCAATTGCACAATTCCCGTTTCTGAGTCAATGCTGAAAAAACTACTATTGATACTAAATGTGATGTGACCATTGCGACCTTCATCTGGATCGTGACATCGTAATCGAAACAATTCTGCACCAATCCCTATCCGCTGAGAATCAATAACAAAATGAGCTGTTCCATCAAGTTCAAAGATCGGAGAGTTATCATTCTGGTCAAGGATATTCAGCGTTCCTTGGTGCATTGCAGTTGACCATTCACCATCCGCATAAATCGTGAAACCAATTCTAGGTTCCACTTCGCGATCAAATGAACGACGAGCTCGTATTTCACCCGTAAATTCATTGATCAACAAATCAGTAGTGTTGATACGATAGCGAATACCCCTCTATAATTTTTTAAGTGGATTTTTCGCAGCTTTAAAAGACACAAATTTTGCAACCTTCGAATAAGCTAAAATTCAGATGCATCATACACAAATTATTGCATTAATTTAATCATTAATTTAACCATTTTCTTTACAGTTAACATATAATACAATTTAAAGTTAGCACAGAAGCGCAATTCACTGAACTATGAATACTACACTGTGCTCCAGTATGATGACAGGGCGTGAAAAGTTTGAAGTCTTCTTTTAATCGGCACAGCTCGATTTTTTTAAAGTTGTAATCTACTGTTATAATAACTCACGAGTGGCGAATGCACAGAAAATGACGCCAAGATTTTTTCCGGTGACGAATTCTCAAAGACTTCAATGGACCAGTTGTTCGATGTGCTGAATTTTGGCACTTGAAGCATACTGTCTAGTAGCCATATATTTATGGTAGCATTGTTACGTGACAGACGACCGCCGTTATCCTTTGCACCCACAATGATCTGAAGACACATTAAGTCAATACAATTACATATTCCTTGATTGAACTGACTGGTAAGTTAAACCTAAAAAGACTTCAGGAAAAGTGGTTAAAAGCACTTACTTCTATTTTCGATCCAAAGTTAAGTAAATCCGCATGCGTAGCTAGATACACTCTTCCAGTTTTATGGTCCAATTCCAAGGAACTCGGAACAGAATAATAAAACAAATATGATATTTGCGCAAATTTTGGACTGTCCTTATCAAATGCCTCTAGCTGTACGAGATAAGTACCCGATGGATTGCCTCGTACAATGTAACCATGGTACTCAACTTGAGCAAAATATGGATCATTGTCGTTTACATCCTCAAAACATGTGAAAATACCTTATTAAAGCTTCGTATTAAAGCATGAATAATCTTTTTTCAACTACCTCAGCTGAATTATTTTTAAAAAAGAGTAATTTTCATTTGGTATCATTAGGAAACATAATAATAATGTAATTTAGTATCATATTAACACTAGTATTAAAATATATGAAAAAAAAAAAAGCGAACTAAGACGTTGATGATAAGGAGAACTGAGGAACTTCGTGATGGTTTGCCGTGATCGGTAGCGGTAACAATAATTTTATGCTGTTTTTTAGTTTCTCGGTCAAGCTTTGTACGCAGCAATATTTCACCAGAAGATTCCTTGACCATAAATATTTGTTTCTTATCAGGGTCTTCTATGTTGTACGAAATAGCACTGTTATTTTCATGGTCCTGAATATGAGTTCATTTTAGAAAAACAAAAATTTCTGCATATTACTTATTAACAGCTCTTTAAAATCTTCACCATTCAACTAAGTAATACTTCTAATACTATCTCTTTAAGATCTCAATTGATGAATTTAGCTTAGCAGGAAAAAGCGCACCTCGTCAGTTGCACAAACTTTAAAGATGACAGTAAGTGGTGGAGTGTCTTCCAACACTTCAACTTCATAAAAAGGAGCAGAAAATTGCGGTTCGTGATCATTTACATCGATAATTGTTATTTGAATTGTGCAGATCGAAAATTTATCACTAGGCGTTGTTTTTCGTACTGATATTTCAAGTTCGTAATTCCATTTGGTATGATTTGGCCATACTTTGGAAAGTGTCACAATACCTATTAACCATTTCGATTAATTTCCTCATATAATTAAGTGATTCAGACTAAATTTAGGATATCCTTCTTATTGTTTATTCTTTTACTATGTTGATAATTTAATGAAGAATGCAGAAAATCAATATTCTTGTTACTGGAAAATTCGGTACTCGATTTCAGTATTTGGCTAATACTCAATTATAACAGATTTTATATTCCAGTATTGGACAAACAGGACAAACTGGATTCATTTAATTATTAAAATTTATTGTGTTGATTAATCATTTCATGTAAACAAAAGAGTTGAAGTTCTGATTTTACCTGTATTTTCACCAACTAAAAATAGTCCGTCATTTCCGCTGTTTTCAATAATCGAAAAGTGTAAATTTTCCTCAGAAGAGGTTCGAACCGCAGCAACAAATGACCCCAACGGTGAAGTTTCAAAAATATCAACTTTCATAAATTTCTCTTCAAGTACTGGAGCCGTGTCATTTAATTTTGTAACAAAAACCTAAAAATGACTGAATTTCATCAATTTTCTGGCTTGCGATGTCTTAGTCGTTAAAAGCTCTTTTTTTGTTTACGTAATCTCAGAATACTGACCTTCAGATCACGCTCCAAAGAACGTGGTGGCACACCATCATCTGTTGCACAAAATTTCAATAGAAACTGCTTGATCGGCTTATCCATTAATCGGTTTTGTCGTAAAATACCGTAATTTTTTCCACTTTCTAATTGAAAATAATTTTCGTTGTTACCACTAATTATAGATATTCGAACATTTTGCCCGTCATCGCGATCATTTGCTGTTATTACAGCAATTGTTGAGCCTACAGCTGTTTCTGAACTAATGTATGCAACCTCTGAACCAGTTGGATAGATCCTGTAAAGTTGTTGAAACTTGGTAGAATTTAAACAGCCTTATGACGGCAATTAGAATTTCAAATTAATTACCTGAAATTGATTTCGGGATCATGCAAATTGGTATTTGTGAGATGTATATAAACCAAAGTATGGCCAATCAATTTTGGTTCACCTTGGTCTTGTGCTTCCACTGTTAAAACACATATTCCCGAGCAGTCTTGCAAACAACCATCTTCTAAGCAGTTCAGCGCAGTGTGCTACAAATAACTTTATTCCATAGTTTTGGCTTAATTCCATTTTGGGAATCCGAAAAAAAAAAGTGTCTAAAATTAAATGCAGCAAATAAAATTGATAGAACATTGAATACTTCAAGCAAATCGAGTGAAGTGATATTGCGAAGACTGAGAACGTTCAGGGTCTTTACACTATAGAAAAGATTGGAAAAGTTTTAATTTCTTATACACTAAATAGTCTATTTATTGATTTAGCAAATATTAGATTTTTTTCACAGATTGAAACACTCACTGTGAAATAGGATTTTACTACTTTCTTTAATTTTATTTACCTGAATAGTTATTGCACCCGTACTGCGATCAATCTGGAAATATTTGGAAGGGTTTGTTGTAAGATGATAGCTAATAAGACCATTATCACCGACATCTGCATCAGTAGCTTCAACCCACAATAGTGTTGCATTAGATAATACCGATCCATTCAATTGGACATCGTAACGTGCTTGACGAAATATTGGTGGGTTGTCATTTACATCTAATACGTTTACGTAAACTATGCAATAGCCTGAGCTAAAACCATTTTAAATTAACGATATTAATTATTTGAATTACAAGTCAAGATGAAAAATATTCCTTAATGAGATGATAACTATATAAATGTCCTTGTCATAAGAATGTTTTCCTCATTCTCGGAAAGAACTTTATAGAGATCAAGAAAAGTTTCCATAATCTTAATCATGGTAATGAATACGCTACTATCACAAAACTAAAGGTACAAAAATAACCGAGGTGGACTGCCACCATCATATGCTGAAATGTTGAGAACAAACAGATCTTTCGTCTCACGATCTAGTTTTGTTTGTAGTTCAAGTAGCAAGACATCTTCACCAGAAGTGTTCGAAGATCGTACTAATGTAAAAAATTCTTTTTCATTCTGAAAAAAATCATCAGAGTCTCTTAATTTTCCAAAACTTACAATGATCTGAAAAAAAAAAAAAAACCGACTGACTTCAAGCTCATAATTTACAATCGTCCCATTTTCAGCTAAATCTGGATCGTTTGCTGGTTGTAAGCGTATCCGACTGCCAATAACCGCTGATTCGACAATTGAAACACTCTAGAAAATAAATGAGATAGTTAAAATTTTAATTAGAAGGAGTTACATGAAAAAATGCTCACAAAATCTTTTTCTGTTCAATTTTGTACAAATTTCAATCTAATTTATATTAAAATAGAAAAAATAGCCAAATTTTCAGGATGTAAAGCAACATGAAAATTAACTATGCATCATAAATTCATGATTTCTGGACACCTGCGACAATAAATCCATTGCCCGACCCTCATCTTCCATTCTCACTAATTATCTCCGCTTCACATCCCCAACAATTATAAAGCTTTCTCCGCTGCATCGATGAAGCGAAATATATAATTAATGCCTACGGTCAATGGTCCTTCTCAAATATACACGGCAAAATTTACTACCCACGGGTAAACGATTCAATTGAAATATTTTCTTTTTAATTATGCAGAATTTTCGATGTGATGAATAAATTGAAATTATTTTGGCGATAAAAAGGCCAAATAGATCCTGGCTGTCAAATTGATATCTGATCTTGGGTAGGATATCTTTTTGAATTTCATAAATAGCTATCAGAATGCAGTTATTCGTTATGATTTATTGTTATATTTTCCACATCTTGAAAAATATTTTGATTTTCTTTTGTTAAAGGATCAAGAATCAGTTACTGAATAATACTTTTCAAGTTTTTAAGTTCGAAAAGTCAGTTTTTTTTCTCAATTCAGCGCCGTAACTAATTTCTGAAACCCAGAAATTTGATGGTATGGATGTACAAATTACTAAAATAAAGTGAATGGCCCACAGGATTTTCAACTAATAGCAGCGATTGACCTATACTGAATGCGAGAATTTATCGAGAATGATAAGTCTGTGCTGTTCTGCGCTACAGCTTAACCAACCATATGCTTTGAGGGGAACGTCGGGCTGTTATCGTTGACATCCAGCACATTAATTCGAACTGCGATTATTGTAGTCGGTTCAGCAGTTAAAATCAAAATAATTGTTCCGTTGGGTGCAATTGTCTCCCGGTTCAATGGTGCAGAAGTGCGAATTTCACCAGTTTGAATATCCACAGATGCAAACTGATTGTGACCATTTAATCGATAGTTGAGATTTGGTTCCAGCGGAATTTTGCCGATCAATGTACCTTCCGCGATATCTGCAAAAAAATAAAAGGATAAAATATCAGAGAAACGGAGAATCAAAAATTTAAATTTAGTTCTAACTTCAACCTATTTTTAGTACTACATATTTCTAGTAAAATTGATAACCTATGACTGGCATTACATTCATTTTTTCGCTAAATTACTGATGAAAAATGTTTCTGCAACAAATACTTTATTAGTTTCTTGATTTTTATATTTACTCTTTAAAAAACAAATTATACCTTCTGGAATTTCAAAGTCGAAATGTTGTTCTGAGAATAATCGAATGGGGATAACCAAAGAATAGAGTAGAAATATTTGAAGAACACATCGCATTCCACAAACTCAAATAACATTAACATTTTATAGAGAAATAAACAAAAGTACAGCAGAACAGATTATAAAATACAAATTTCGTTGACAAAGATATTGAAAATTTGTGGTCTGATATTTCGTTGATTTAATGAAGATCTTTCTATAATCTTTCTAGACAAGACAACATATTCTCATGTCATAATAAGTACATACATCACCTACTGTATCATTGAGATTTTCATGTGGAGTATTTGTCACTGGAGTGACAAAATCGGAAGATGTGCCGTGAGGTTGTGAATGGACATGGTGAAGAAATTATTTATAGGAATAAACTCGAAATTTTAAAAAATAATCAAAAAAACGAAAATTTAAGAAGCCGAAGAATCTACATATATAAAAGACAAAAAGTTTTGAGAACAAAAAGTTCCGATACTAACAAATGAGTGGATGTAAAATAATTACATCCAATGAATATTGCAGAATAGCATTATTGAAAAAAATGAATTTCTATTTAACAATGAATAATATGCAAAGAGCTGATCGCATGAAATTACTAGATTCTTATATTTGATGCAAACAGTACTCATTTACCAAAAAAATCTTTCTGGCCGACTGCTTACTGACAAGTACTACTGAGGTCTTTTATATTTAACAACCAAAATTAATAAATAAAATAATTATGTATTGAAGGATCGTAATTTTTTGGTTTAATTTTCTGTTAATAACTAAGAAGTTCAGACATTAAAACTATGCTTCCATATAAATACAACTAATTCTTTTTATAGATGAATGGCTAAAAAGTGATAGCATGTAAAGGAATACAGTGCATGAAGAGAGAGATTTCCGCGGATAATGGCATGCAGATGTAATCTAATCGTATGATCATGAAAGAAAACCCAGATGACGTGTCGATGAACTGTTTCGAATTATTTGGAAGATGACAAATGAAAAGGTATAATCTTAACAGAAATAAAATTACTTACCGTGGTGGGAAAGATCCACAAATAGACAGATCCGGCGTGTTTGTCAGTACTAAAACGATGAAGGTCAATCTTTTGGCAGTAGTAATAAGCGCATTTGAAGTAAAGTAATCAGTTAGCTAATAATCATCACAATGGCATAGTTGTATGTGAAATTCTAAAGTAATTTGTGATTGAGAAATCATCTAAAGAAGAAAATGGAATGAATTCGAATTTTGTTAGCTTATTGGAATTGATAAGAAATCATAAGTCATAATTTAGCCCTTTGCCAGTCTATTAATACAAATAGAACATCAGGTGAGAGGAATTGCTTTATAAGATAGACTGATATTCACGGTAGGCGGTTAAACTGGGCGGATCCAAAATAGGTGACCATTGGGCGTGGCTCCCTGTCACAGTAGATGTCCTTTCTCTACTTGTTAACAGAGGTCAACAATATACTTTGCATAGACGGAAGGTAGGAGAAAAAATCTTTGCAAAGACGACCTTCGAACCGCTGCGGGAATCCATGCGGTAGGAAACACTTCCGGTACTCAGCACTTGAGAAACAGTCCTCATTATCATGGACAAAACTTATGCGAAGATATCGAATTTTCACCAAAATCGAAAAGAACCTGTTGGGTGTGAACAATACATATTACCTTAATTCATCTCCATAACATTGGATGATTCCCATCCTTCGATTATTCTGCAAATCATGAAGTGGTTGGTCGATTTAGTTGTTGAAATAGTTCTTGGACGACAAATAATTTGTATTAAAATTAAAACAAAATTTATCTATTTGAAAGATTAGATCCTAAGCCTAATTGCATGAAAGAACGATTATTTCCATTATTTGGAAAATAAATTTATTCATTCCCTTCTAATATTAAGGAATTTGATCGTTATTCTACCAACAACTATTGTCTTACATAATTCTCATAGTTTTTTTCACTTTCTCTCAATGAAATAAAATCACTTAGTAATTTTTGCTACATAGGTAATTTTCTCCCGTTTCAAAGAACTTCCTTTTTTTTAAAAAAACTTTTATTGTTACTTCGTCTAACAACACTATGTTTGAAATAACTTTTTGAAATTACTTTTACATTAAACTGATTGCCAATGAAAATCTAGAACTTTAATCTACCCAAATTTAATTATGCTCAGTCACTTGAATTCCAAACAACGATTGGTCAGCAAATAAAGCTAATAATGTAACATTCTAATAAATGTTCAGTCATTTATGCTATTTATTTTATGGACAAGTACAATTCAGAAAAAAAAAAGATTATGTTTTAACTCACCTTTGAGAGGAAGGACGTATTTTGGAAGGTCTTAATTTGGATAAGGATAATATATCGAGATGGAATGAGTTCTCAAATAATACGAAAGCATGATTATCACATGAAAATCAATTCCGACCAAAAATGGTGCAAAAAATTAAAAAACTTCCTGCACATATTTCAGTAAAACTCAAAAGTTTAGCCATTTCTTATCTTCTTTCACTACCAAAAGTATACAGAAATCAACGTTACATCGTTTTTATCGGCCGATGTTGTTGCTGCTCGAATTGCCAATTCGTTCCAATGGTTCAACAAATCCAAGGACGAAAACTCATTTTTTTCCTTCAATATTTGTGGAATTCCTTTTCTTCCCAGCAGAACATCAACATGAAAAGAGGAAAGGCATTTGAAAACACTAGAAATTTTCATCCATAAAAATACTGTCTCACAATTCTTTTTCCATATTTGTACGATCAGTTTTTATAGAACATTGGATGCTGATAGTAGATCTTTCTTATCAGCGGTCTATGATAAATTTAGAAGAAAGCCAAACGAAATCAAAAAATATAGCATATATGAACCCCAGAGTGGTATAGAATGTTAGACTACTGTCAATTAGTTATGCTATAACGTGAAACTCTAATGATGTGATGATGCAATTCCATCCTAATGGATCAAATCGAATTGATCTTTTTGTTATTGGTGCCAATCTCCACTTTTTGCGTGTGAATCAAAATTCGAAAAAGGAGGAGGAAAATTATTGCTGCATCAATTTATGAAAAAGCTTGTTGCTTTTTTCCTCGTCGATTTCATCTCTTTATTTGTTTCAAAAAAGTAATTCAAATATTCTATGTAAACAATTTCAAGTATGGATTGAAGTATGGATTTCATATTAAGAATATAAAAGTAGGAAGAAAACAAAGTAATGGTGAAAACAAAATAAATTTATAACTTCTGATATCAGACCAGTCTTTGTCTTTGTGAACTTTAACACAGAGGATGGCATCAATGCGGCTGCGAAAATAGCAAAATTAGCTTTCATTTAAAAATGATCTTCAGCAGCAGGTGAAAAGCAATGACCATCAGTGTCACTTTTCCATACATCTCAATGTAAAAAAAGTACGATTTTTTTCCATGCCATAAATTCTTTAATATTGTGGATTCATACAAATGACAATTCTCTCCCTCTCTTTCCCTCTCAAATTCAAATGAAATTTCAACTTTCCCTGTGTACAAAATGAACACAATGGGAAGCCAGAATCGTGATTCTTGATTTTTGTCCCCATCTCCATTAAATCAGCAATTTTCAATTTTTTTTTTTAATTAGTAAAGTAATTGCTGTTAAATAGAAGGATACATGAAATGTGCGTAGACCCATTCTAACTTGAAAAGTGGGATATCGACACAGTCATATATTACTTACATTCATATCATAATTGTATTATATCCTTCCACATGAACATGAGCAGTCTTCCAAGTTTCTTTAAGATGCCTTTATAACTAAGTTTAGGTAATTCGCAGATCATGCAGATACTTTGAATAATTTCACAGTTGTTAACTACTGTTTTGTATGGAATGAGTGAAGATTAGACTACAGGACGAGTTGTTTTCCTCCTTGGCTCACATAATGATTTCAGAAGTTTTTCATTTGAAGCCAGCGGTAAATTAATTAAGTGATGAAGACAGTATAGCACTTGAAAAGCAACCAGTAGTCTAGTAAGAATGACCAATGGTCAGTCAAGAATAATGTCCCATTCCTTTGTGTAGTATAACATGCACGACTCATTACTAATCGACATTCGTTTGCGGCATGCCGTTCTGCAGTCAGTAAAAGGAAAGTGGCAGAGAGAGTGGAAGGTCATACTTTCTCATTTTCGACAAGATATGTTGCATTTTGTGTGGAGAGTTGAGAACTCTCGGTCTGTGCAAAGCAGGGTGGATTCCGTAAGATCAAAGTAGTATTGTGAGACAGGCTCAGCATTATTTCGCTTGCTGCTCTGCGTACACTTCCACAGTGCACGCGTTCTCGAATGTTCTTTCACTCTTTTAAATAAGCTTTGCGATCGTTTTGCCTTCTGTCTTAACTTTGCATGCTGCTTCGGTCATTTATTCAATAGACTGCGTGATATCCCTTCCGTGTACTACACCTCTCAGTTACGTTGAATGCTTTTTTTCCACATATTAAGAGGCTAACACTAATAGTAGGAGCAAACAATTTAGGTGTTAAACTCGCTTAGCCTCCTGTTCCACTGCACATACTTCCTTAACAAATTCTGACTGGAAGTGAAGTTAAATTACAGCTATCAAATCTTGAATTCAATGGGAGATCAGTAAAAATAATTAATAAAAATAATCACAGAATTATGAATAATAATAATAATAATAGTAATAAAAATAATAAGTGTCACATCCTATTCTCAAACTTAACACTTGCTACATGTGTTGTTGCGCAAATTCATTACTCAGATGTTCTATTTAATATTGTATAGTAATCTATCACTCGTTGACTGGCACTATTGCTTTCCTATCATGGTATTGCAGAGAGCTTATCAGAATAATAGGAAAGTCAAATGCTGTTGGGTTTGATCTCGGTACTACTTACTCATGCGTTGGTGTATTTATGCATGGGAAAGTAGAAATTATAGCTAATGATCAAGGTAACTATTCTATGCAGTCCAGTGACTATCTTTGTTGATGAATGATCGAAGACAGGAGTAGATGGCTTAGTAGGTTGTCTCCATACACATTGAAGTATTCTGTTCCTTATATTCATTTATAATTACAACTTTCATTTTCCGACTATTACATACAACAAATTGAAAAATTTAGAAATTTTAGATTGGAAATAAGTTGGATGAATGATTTAAATAAAATCTAGGTATCAAATTTGAATAAAATCTAGACATAAATTCTAATGTTCATATTCATCCCAATTTAGGATTTCCATCAAACTTTTTTCGCTACAAGCAATCAAACAACCCCATCATATGCTTCATTCACTGATACCGAGTGCTTAATTGATGACATAATACTGCTTTTGCTATGCTGATGATTATTTTACACTCTGTCGATATATTAGTCACATCTCGCTCTGATTTGTGTTAGTCTTCCATGTCGGAAGTGTTGAGAAATAGAGAAACCCCTTTTTGTAATATTATGATTGATGAGAGATCAATTGCGATAGATTTCCGTGCCACTAACGAATGTATGAATTTAAAGATGTAAAGCGGTTGATCGGTAGGAAATCTGGTGATCCGGCGGTACAGTCAGATATGAAGCATTGGCCCTTTAAAGTCATCAGTGCTAATGGTGGCAAGCCAAAAGTTCAAGTAGAATACAAAGGTGAAACGAAAATATTTACAGCAGAAGAAATTTCTTCCATGGTTTTGGGAAAAATGAAAGAGACAGCTGAACGATTCCTTGGACATTCTGTAAAGGTAGGCTTTACTTTCGTTTTTTTTTTTTTTTTTTAAATGGGAGAGAGCTAACCAGGGATAGACAAGAAATGTTACAAACAGAATATCACAATTTACAACAAATAAGCTGGTGCTACACAGCATACCAATCGTTCTGAGTTTATTATACTGTCCTATTCACCCTGGAGTTGAGTTCAGCAAAATCAGGATTATCAACTATCTGAATTATATTGCTTTAAAAGAAAATAGAATTCTTTTAAAAATACTGGATGATTCTCGTTTACTGATCTTCTTACCATTAAAAACGAATTAAGATTATAAAAAGCTGTTGTTCATTGCAGCGTCTAATGAGAACATTGGAATATATATGTATATTCAATAAAAATATAAATTCAGATCATTCACATAATGTCGCCACATATTTCCTTTTGCAGAATGCTGATACATTCACCTGATGCCATAAAAATTTATTGCAAGATTTGTTATGTTAGGAAGTACGAAAAAGATTTTACAGAAATGTCCATTATAATAATTTATGAAATGTTTTGTTTAATAAAGTTCTTACAATTGAAAGACAAGATCTCTGCGGATGATCGCAAAAAATTTAAAGACAAATGCAACGAAGTAATCAGATGGCTGGATAGTAATCAGGCTGAGAAGGACGAATTCGAACATCGGCAAAAGGAGTTGGAGGCTCTTTGCAATCCAATCATTATTAGGATGTATCAGAGCGCCGATGATATGCACGGTGGTATGTGGACTCATTTTACTAGTATAAAAGTCAATTTTTACAACGCGTAATCCGTATTGAAAATTTAAATGAGAACATCAATTTCGATGTTGGACCAGTTCCAAAGTCCAAAACACTAGATATTTTGTAACTCGAGGAACTGTTTTTGTTTGAAAGCAATCTTAAAGACTCGAGATAAGGTTGTACGCTATTCTGTCTGATCAAAGCGATGAGGTCCTTTCAACAACAAAAAATATTATCGATAATACTATAGCTAATATAATCATCAGTCGGCGGCATTACGAAAAAGCCGAGTCGTTAAGTGAGAATGTATGCAGCACTTATTTATATCACAAGGGTTAGTGATCCACCTGAATTAATAATCCTTGCTGTTTTCACTTCTAAAGTTTCGAAAAGGCAAAAAGCCATTAACTTTCTTATTCATTCCAGGGATGCCAAGAAGTGTACCAGGCGACGGCTCACAAGAAAGTAGCCCAACAATCGAAGAAGTAGAATGAAATATTTGTTCTCGAAGTAGTGATTTATGAACAGCATATTAATGGAGTTGATTTTATGAATAGTTTTGATTGTTCGTAAGATCAGTAAAAATGCATAAATTCATTAACGGATGAGAATACATGCCCAACGAGAGAGAAAAAACCAGCCGAATTGCCCTTTACTGTTCCGACAACACGAATAAATACAGCTATTAGACAGTAGTGAACGGTTTACAAAGTACCATAATGTAAACAAATACAGGTGCAATTCTTCTGAGGAAGCCACAAAACAAAAACTTGTAACTTGAATAAAGGAGGGATGACAACTTAAAATTTTGGTATTACAAGTTTAAGAGTATGTTTTTTTGAATTGGTAAATCATACCACTTTGCTAATTCTTGAGTTCAATATTTTATGTTAATGAGAAGAGTTGAGGAAGTAGATCGAAGTAAAAAGAGAGACAGTCTCATGTTTTTCGAGTATAATAATAATAGTCTAAAGATATTTTGGTCCATATTTTCTTGTTCTTCGGTCTATTTTGTCCTGAGCGGCCAGACTTTAATAAAAGTCAAAAGCACTCATGCAGTTGTGTACTTGCCCAGTCCTAGCGCTGTAGAGTAATGGACAGTGCATCCAGGTATGCTCAACTGGGCAATCGCTGAAGGGCAATACCACTACAGCAAAGAAGCTACCCGTACCTGTCAGGTGGTCAATTAGGAAATTAGTAATGCATGTGTATGACTAATCTGCGGATTACTGGCAAGAATGTGAAACGGTTAAGAATATCCCTCCAAGAAATGCAAGTATCACAGAAGCAAGGGCGGCTAGGGAATGCACCAACCGAGAATCGACCCCCTCCCTCATTAATGTTCTAGAACATTCCCTGATCTGGTCCCCTCTCACTGCAATCCTAAACGAGTTTCTAGAACATTCTGACACTTCACAATATCTCTCTCACTCCGATGCAGTCACTCTCTCATCCTAGTCCCAATCACTTATTATCTTTGATATTCTGCTAGCAGCACTCGCACACTGACTATTAGAGTACACTCTCTGTCTGTGCACTGAACATTCTGTAGTCTTCCAGAACATTCGATGTGTTCCACATATAAAGGAACTGAGCGATGGTTGCCTCGCTAGTGGTGAATCGTCGTTGTACATTGCTCGGTTGCGTTCTTAGTTGTTTGGGGTGGTGGGCGGGGGAAGTAGTATGCGTGGATTGTGTGTTTGACGCTACTTTATACGTGTGGTCTAGTTTTAGGCGTGCTTGTTGTTGATTATTGCAACGTTTCTTGAAATACAGCAAATATGTCAAAGAATGCCATTGGTATCGATCTTGGAACCACGTATTCCTGCGTGGGTGTGTTCATGCACGGCAAAGTGGAAATCATTGCTAACGATCAAGGTATAATTGTTATTGATTTATTTTCATGAAATTGACCGCTTTGCTCAACATCTGAAATTATAATCGAGGCCTTTTTCTTTTTAACTGTTTGTCAGTAACTTATGTTTAGGATCAAATGTGATTTTTCGTGCCATGTATTGTTGCAGCAATTTTGCTCACTGAATTTTGTGCATAAGGTGAAAGGCGGTGCTGGCACCGATTTTAGCAGACCTCCAAATGGTCCACATCATTTAATGGGACGCATGTTAATGTTTTGAGCACTGAGATATAAATAGATGAAGTTACTGATGTGACATATGAAGATGAATTTAACATTATAATGAATTGATGGTGACTTAAGGGCAATACAATTTTTCATTTTGCAGTTTCCTTAAAAAGAGATGGGATATTGCAGGTAATCGTACAACACCATCGTATGTTGCATTTACCGATACTGAACGTCTTATTGGCGATGCAGCCAAAAATCAAGTTGCAATGAATCCGCACAACACTGTTTTCGGTAAATCAGAACTCTTTTGTTTGAAGTACTTATTTTTTCGTTTCTAGTGTCGAGTGGTGTCACAGTTGTATAATACTACACTGCTGGATATACGACTAGGGAGCTAATGTTTCTGGATAATTATGCCAACAGTCTGGACCAATTTTTAATATTTGCTGTAATTTCAGACGCTAAACGACTGATTGGTCGTAAGTTTGATGATGGATCAGTGCAATCGGATATGAAACATTGGCCATTTAAGGTAGTGAATGCTGGTGGTGGTAAACCTAAAGTGCAGGTTGAATACAAGGGCGAGACGAAGACTTTTACTCCAGAAGAGATTTCGTCGATGGTTTTGGTTAAAATGAAGGAGACGGCGGAAGCTTTTCTGGGTCACGCGGTCAAGGATGCTGTTATTACAGTCCCCGCATACTTTAATGACTCACAACGACAAGCCACTAAAGATTCCGGTGCAATTGCTGGTCTAAATGTTCTACGTATTATCAACGAACCAACAGCAGCTGCTATTGCTTATGGTTTGGACAAGAAGGTGCTTTATATAGTGCATATTAACAGAGTTGTATACCATTGTACTCACCAGTGGGGATGTGATATTTTATGTTACAGGGCCATGGTGAACGCAACGTTCTTATCTTTGATCTTGGTGGTGGTACATTTGATGTATCTATTCTAACCATTGAGGATGGTATTTTCGAAGTCAAGTCTACAGCTGGGGATACTCATCTCGGAGGTATGTTTATCCTCCATAAAGTGACGTTTCCTCTAGTTATTTGTGCGCATGCAATGTGTTGTAGGTGCATTAGTCATGCAAGTAGTTATTCCTGTTAGTTGTGCGTTTGCAGGAGAAGATTTCGATAATCGCATGGTGAATCATTTTGTTGCGGAATTTAAGCGAAAGCACAAGAAGGATCTTGCGTCAAATCCTCGTGCGCTTCGTCGTTTACGTACTGCATGCGAAAGAGCAAAACGGACATTGTCTAGTTCATCTCAAGCGAGGTACATATTTTCACCTGGAATTGCCATTTTTTAGCCAGGCGGTTTTAGAAATGGGTGATAAGTTTTGTCAACACCGGTGTGATGGCGCACATTTCTATTCCAGTATCGAAATTGATTCATTGTTCGAGGGAATTGATTTCTACACCAATATCACCCGTGCTCGCTTTGAGGAATTATGTGCTGATCTTTTCCGTTCAACTATGGATCCGGTTGAGAAAGCACTCCGTGATGCTAAGATGGACAAGGCCCAAGTCCATGACATTGTACTAGTAGGTGGATCAACCCGTATTCCGAAAGTGCAGAAGCTCCTATCGGATTTCTTTTCTGGCAAAGAACTGAATAAAAGCATCAATCCAGACGAAGTGAGTTATTTGACTCAGTCTGTTTCCGTGACATAAACAGGGTCTCAGAAGTTATCGCGCACTTGAGTAATTAAAGTAGTTATTTTTCTAGTCTAGCCATTTAATTTTAAATGAAAAAAATTTGAAGGCCGTGGCGTATGGTGCAGCAGTGCAGGCAGCTATTCTTTCTGGTGATAAGTCGGAAGCCGTACAAGATTTGTTACTGCTTGACGTCGCACCGCTTTCACTTGGTATTGAAACAGCTGGGGGTGTTATGACTGCACTCATCAAGAGAAATACCACTATTCCCACGAAAACCTCCCAAACTTTCACCACATACTCCGACAACCAGCCTGGTGTCCTTATTCAGGTTTGTTATTCTAATTTTTTACAAGATTTTTTTTTTTTTTTATTCTAAATTTTTTTTTTTACATTTTTTTTTTCTAATTTTTACAAGCGTCCGTATGACTCTTTAAAAGATAAAAAAAATCTCAGATATGGTGTTAAAAACCTACACATACAAAAGTTGAAATTCAGGTTTACGAAGGTGAACGTGCTTTGACTAAAGACAATAACTTGCTTGGTAAATTCGAGTTGTCTGGAATTCCGCCTGCTCCTCGCGGTGTGCCGCAAATTGAAGTCACGTTTGATATTGACGCCAACGGTATTCTGAATGTTTCTGCCCAGGATAAATCCACAGGCAAACAAAACAAAATTACCATTACCAATGATAAAGGACGTTTGTCAAAGGATGAGATCGAGCGGATGGTACAGGAAGCCGAAAAATACAAGGCGGATGATGAAGCACAGAAGGATCGTATTGCGGCAAAAAATGCTCTGGAATCGTACGCATTCAATATGAAACAGACGATTGAGGACGAGAAGGTAATTGGCGACATATTTTCCTAAAGTATTCTGCTTCGTGGTGTATCGTTTGAATAACGCGTTTATCATTTCCAGTTAAAAGATAAAATTTCGGAAGAGGATAAGAAAAAGATTCAAGAAAAATGTGACGAAACAGTTAGGTGGTTGGATGGAAATCAAACAGCTGAAAAAGATGAATTTGAGCATCGTCAGAAAGAATTGGAATCTGTTTGCAATCCGATTATTACAAAACTCTACCAGAGCGCTGGTGGTATGCCTGGAGGTAATGTTTTGCATAATTTGGTGGGATTTTTGTCTCACCAATGGTTAGGGTTGTTTGATTATGATGCACTATGAGCTAATGAATAGGATTTGACTAATGACAGGAATATTTCAGGAATGCCGGGTGGTATGCCTGGTGGAGCTCCAGGTGCTGGTTCAACAGGAGGTGGACCAACAATTGAAGAAGTTGATTAGATGACTTTTTGATCGGAATTGACGATCTCGTTTTCATTGCGTGATATTACCTCTCCCTCCCTGTTTTTGATGTTATGGAGTTTCAAGTTACTAGTTTCTTTGCAACCTCATCTTAATAATTGAGGTGTGATTGGACTCGGCTGTATTTGGAAGTTATTTTATTGATTGTTATTGTTTCTTGACTTGGATTTCCGTACGATTTGTAATAAAGTTCGAGTATTATGGTCCTTGTGAATATTGTAGCACATCGTATGGGAAATGATACCGGGTGGAGTTCTTCATTTTTGCGGTAGACCGCAGGGCCATCGGGAAGACAAGATTTCGTTGGTTGGTGGTGCCCAGCACAAAGGTGGGTACACACTTCAGAGCAAAGGATTTTAAGAATGAAGGTTGTGGTGTGGGAAGGTTCGCTCCCCAATTGGGTGCCAGCCATATCATTTTTATAGTGGGTAATTGTTTTTAGTGCTAATGGACTTGAAATACTGTTAAAATATTTTACTGTCATCTGAAAATAATACAGTGGCAAGCGATAACAATAAGGATTCTAATGTGGAGTGGGGAAATCCCAATTTTCCTAGACAACCACACCCACAGCCTTTTTATGAAGTTTCGGGAATGCGTATTTATGAGAAACAAACTGAGACAAGGTGGAAAGCAGAAAGTGTACCAGTGGTCTTCTTAACAAAATACAAAAGTTATCTTTTCAACAAGGATTTCTATCAATTTTTTTTTTTTTTTTTGTTAAATTTTCCATCAACTGCATAAAAATGGAACGCGATCACTCTACATATCGTCGTCATCATCATCATTCCTTCGCTGTACTGGTTTCTCCAGCTTAATCAGATCATCAATACGAAGAATTGTTATGGCGGCCTCAGTGGCAAATTTCAGGCTCTTGACTTTACTCATCAGTGGTTCAAGAATGCCAGCTTCCTTGTTATCACGAATTTCTCCATTTTCCAAATCCAGACCAGCCCTAATTCAAAACAGATTGAGTTAGAAATGAAATAAGTCTGTAACCTTCACTAGACAGATTTAAAACAGTTAGATTTAAGCAAATGTTTATTAGATGAAGACCAATGAATTATTTCCAGTAAGATAAATACCATTTCAGATGAGCAAGTTCCTTCACTTGCTGTGCTTTATTGTGAAATGCTCGTAACTTAGCGACCAATTCCGTTGAATCTTTAGCAGCATTCGAGGCTAGCACTTTCGGGATAACGAGTAATGAATTAGCGAATTCAGCAACAGCAAGCTGTTCACGACTTGACTGCAAATAAATTTCACTAAAATAATTTCTTAAGCATTTTAAAGACATAAAATATTTCAGACTTAAGTCTATATTTGTAGTATAAATGCAAAATCAAAGCAGAAAAAATAGTCCCAATTTTCAATTATAAAATGTTGATGAAATTATGCAAACTGCAAGGAAATCGAACTCACCAAAGTTGTAGCAAATGCTTCAAGATAAACATTCAGCGAAGCTTCTACCGCTCCACCACCAACAACCAATTTTTTGCTTTCAAGTACGCGTTGAACAACACAAAGCGCATCATGAATTGACCGCTCCATTTCATCAAGCATCACGTCGTTTGGTCCACTAAATACAAAAATCAGTAAGAAAGAAGCAATGGAACATCAAAAAGATCTGATTTATGGCAAAGCACCAGTCCATTCATTCTTTTCTCTTTTAATAAAATTGCAGATATGAGGAAGTTGTTGAGAAGAATCAGAGTAAATTTAAATAATTTCAATGAAGTTTACACCAGATCAACAAGAAATTTGACTAGCAATTAAGATGATGAGAAAAATAATGTTTCACCGAAGTATAATCGAGGACGAAGTACGCGCTCTCGGTCCTTTGATAAAAATAAGTTCATCATCTGAAATTCTTTCCTGAACTACTTCATCAGCTGTACCAAGCTGGGAGGATTCGAATGCTTCTGCGCCTTCCAGAGTTGCCAAAGATGACATTAACGTGGCTGAAACATGATTTTATAAAATTAAGACTTCATAAATATGTTTTCTGTATAACCAACGAATTCAATCCTTTAGAACCCATAAAATCTCCAAAGATATTCAGTGGTATTCTTTGTTAAAACAGTAATGTTTCAGGATTGCTCAAATGCTTTTCAAACATTTTACACGTTGCGAAAGATGCCTGAAATAGATGAAATCTAGAATCACAGGAAATTTCCATTCCATTCATATATAACATTAATCAGTGAAAGTGTTTTATGAAAAATAAAATTTCCTATTTTCCTTCCCCAAAAAAATTTTAAAAAAGTATTTCAAAGTTAGACGTAATAGATTCAACGGTAATATCTTATCAACCAAAAAGAAGTTAAAACAAATTGCTACCTCCTGTTGCTTTAGCAATTCGTTTCAAGTCAATCTTTTTGCATCGTCGAACTGCCATTGCACCTGCTTCCACAAACTGCTTCAAACAGAGATCATCAATTCCACCTGTCGTCAGTACTACATTGGCTCCAGCTTTCAAAATTTTTTCAATTCTTCGTTTCGTTATTTCATATTCTCTGCAACCGAACATTTCTTAAAAAACGCAAAAACGTTGCCAGTCCTAAAGGCAGAAAAGTAGAAGTAGGTATTGCATTTGTTTCCTTTTGAATTCCACGATTTAGACTTATACAAACTTAAAAGGAACCTGTGAAAATAATCCTTGAGAATATATGGTAAAGAAATATTAGCTGTAAAAAATGCAAAAAAAAAGAACTTACTCACGACGAAATGCTTCAAGTTTTATCGGGTCTTCAACTATCACCGATATTCCGAGATGCATTTTGACCTTCTGAAGCGAAAAGTCCAAACACGCAATCTTCGCATTTTGAATAATGCGTGGCATAGCTAAACGTTAATACATGAGAATCATAACCAAATTACTAAAAGAAATTAATCAGAGTGATGAAGTTTCTGAGCAAGAGAATGACACAAATGAAGGATAAAGCTGGAACAATTTGAAAGTAAATTTATTTGTTCCTCTAGTTTACTGTTTTGCACAAAAAAAAATTCTATAAAATTTCTATATTAGAATTTTTATAATGCCTAAACTGAAATAATGATAGCTGCAAAGGCTACAGAAAAAACTATCTAACAGATTGCGAGAGCCCTTTCATTTCGAAATATAAAGCAAATAACATAAAAAATTCAGAAACCTTTGTCCAAATCATATCAGATAAACATGATGACCAAATTCTGGGAAGGGGGAGGGAGAAGCGAAGAAGAGATGGGAGAGTTAGGAACAACAAAAATATGACTAAGACCTATGACTAAGAATTGTAAATCCTCAACATGAAAATTACCTTGACTAGCAACAGTACAATTGAGCGCATAGCCCTTAATCAGAAAACTTTCACGTACTGATTTCCCATGAGCTTTCAGTATATTGACAGCTTTGATTGGGTATGTAACTTTACCCTGAACATCGGTTATCTTGATTAGTTCTGCCGCCTCAACAACCATATCAGCAAAAAAGTCAGCATCTCTGAAAAAAATACATGTTTTTCAAAATACCGAAAAAATTATCACAGAAATAGTTACGGGAAAATATATGCATTGTTTCCAAGAAACAGGGAGAGACGAAAAAAACCGTGAAGCAATTTGGTAATAAGATCTTAAATCATAAAGTGTTATCAAAATGATATATCAGGTAATTAGTGCTTTAAAAAAGGAAATAAAAATATACAAGTCAAATAATCCTGTAATATGCAGTCTTCAACCAAACCGCTTCACCTCAAATCTTTGAACAATTAAAAAAGAAAACATACGGTCCAATGACTTTTGAAGACATCGCTGTCTTCGCAGCTTCAGTAATCGAATGTCGACCCAGCTCCTGTGATCCAAATGACAAATTGTCCTGAAGAAAAAAATCATAAGCAAAGAATATTACCACGACTAATTAACACATAACTGCTGCACGTTTTTGCTCACTCATCAAACGCCCACAACTTAAATATGAAATTTCTCTTTGCATTACCAACTACCACTAATTTTCGACCGCAGCACCTTTGTCGCTATGTGAGAGTACAGTACTGAAATACTAACATTCATGAAAATATAAAGTGGTAGCCTAATTTTCGAACACAAACAATTTACAATTTTTGATCTCTGAACTAGTGCATAAAAGATATACGTGATTAAGATCATGAAATAAGTGAATATATAAAAATCAGCGAATCTTTAGAATCACAGAACATCTACCTGCATGTAACGCACAGACTCTTTACAAGCTAGGCGATAACCGTTAATAACAGTCGTAGGATGAACTTGCTGCTTAACTAATTCATCAGCAGACTTGAGTAACTCTGCCGCCACAATAACTACCGATGTTGTTCCATCACCAACCTTGAATCAAACTTATTTAAAACTGCTGCGTAAAACAATTCTAATTGAAAATACCCACAGAAAAATGAACTGAGAACAAAAAGAAAACAATGTGCAATCGAATACCTCCTCATCCTGCAACTGAGCCAATTCGACAAGAACCTTCGCAGCTGGATGTTCAACTTCTATTTGTTTAAGAATTGTCGCACCATCGTTCGTCACTATTGCATCCTGAAATGAAAATACAAAATGCTTGAGAAACTTCACTGTGGAGTGTTGCACGGACTCTCAAAATGTGATTCTTAATCTCATTCTCAAAACTGTTTCCCCACAAATAAATTCCTTACAAGTTTAAGTGTTGTAAGTGTATAAAAACACATACAATGCTATAATATCACTCCAATCAGGGTACACAAATATAATTAACGTTGATGGTCATTATAATAAAAAGAAAAAAGTGTTTGGTTTAGACATTTGTATGTATGCAACCTACTCCGACATCATCCACAAGCATTTTGTCGAGCCCAACTGGTCCAAGTGAAGACTTGACAATATTAGCTATCGTCGATGCAGCCATAACTGAAATGGAATTAAATTGAGACTGTAAAGATTAAAATGAAGTTTCTGCCAAATTTTTTATTAAATTTAGATTTATCCAGAAGATCAAACTGCATGCATACATAATGGTACATAAAGAGGTTAACACAAGAAGTTAATATCAGAATCGGAATGCATAAAATATAATAATGCAAAGGAAAACGTATTATAATACCATTTTGTGTTCTGACGGACTGACCCGAAGTACGTTTGCCCGTAACAGCAAGAAGTCTTTCGCCACCAGATGCCATCTTTCCTAAACAAACAGTATAACTCAGTAAGTCAAATGATAGATATTAACAAGGAGGAAATGTTGCCAATCCCCCACTTATACCCACTCATGTGCCCTGGCCATTACCCCGAGGACAAGGCACCACCGACCAACCCAAGGCACACCAAACCAACCTCACCCCACATCCATTCCATCTGAGTGTCACATAGCCTGCGATCCAACCAAGTACTCGCTATGAAAAGTCTATCTTCCATCCCAGTTCAACTGTTACTGTCGGATTTGTTGGAGTAATTAATTGTTAGTTGTCTTTGCATTCGTACCCTCAGATAATATAAGCGCTATCAGTGATTGTTGATTATTCAATTCTTGTTTTCTTTTAGTTCACCCATTCTTTACTTTCGAGAGTCTTGAGATGTGACACGATGACGTTATTATTGTTTCGCATGATACCGAAACGCGATGCTCACTTGTATGGCATAGTATCCAATGATGGCGAGTTCCATAAGTTGCCGAACTGTACGGATGGGATCAGATGGGTGTTGGATGTAATGCCTTTCTTATATTGCAATTTCATTTAGTAATTTATAGCTTATCGACGTCTTTTTTATCAAAAACTTTTAAACAGATTGAACTTTAAGAAAAAAAAAACTTAAAATCGAAAGTTTTCATCAATACCTGAAGATAATTACGCAAGAGAGGAAATAGTTCAAGTAGTTCCTAACTCTATGTGCAAAACGATTTTGAGAGTAAAAGCTTATTTTTTAGATTGGACACATTTACCAAATCTCATTAGGGATATGAAATAATTAACAAAGAAGAATAAAATATTTATTTATTTGAGTAGAATTTAGCACTAATTTCAGATTTTCGGGGATTGTGTTGACACGAATATAAAATTAATTGGCTTTATCATCGGCTTTATATCATTGTTTCTCTGGCTTTTACCGATAATTCCACAGCTTTTACATAATTATCGTACCAAGCGATGCGATGGTCTTTCCATATATTTTATACTTTTTTGGTACCTATTCCAAACCAATTTGTATTGTTTATAGAAATTTAACATTCCAATTGCCACATTCCAGTTTCGATTACAGGAATTCATTGATATGTTTTAGCGATTTGGTATGAATAGTTATTTGCTACAAAACAATTTTTCCATTAATTTACGTTGTTCTTTTAATTTAGTGTTTTTTACCTTACCATTTATTTATTGCAAAACTATTCAATGAATAATATAGCCTGAAGAGCCTGGGTTGACATTTTCTAGATGGGTGTTTGAATTATTTCATTTTTTAATTTTTAGGGTTGTTGGTGATTCATGCAATACTGCTGGAGCATTACTTACAGATCAGCAGCCTCTCCAAAAAGTTATCGGTGTTTACTACATTTTGCAGGTGTGCAACTTCATAAATTACGATGTGCTATACCTGTTCTTGAGAAATTATCGCTTTATCTTTTATTTTCATGCGTATTTTCAGGATATGGTTATTCTCAGTCAGTTTTTTTATTATAGTCACATTTATTCATATCGACTGCGAGGTATCTCTCGAATGTTTTCAATCCTTAATTTTTTTTTACTTTTTCATATCTTTCACTGGATGGGATATACCGTTGAAGAGCTATTTGTCCTTTTAAAATTGCTAAAAAGCAAATTTTAGCAGGACCAGTTTCTTATTGACAATGCAGCTTACATCACTTACGATTAGATCGCCTTCAGTAGTTTGCTTGTGTGAAAAATTTAAACATTTTTTCTGAAAAATTTAATTTTTTGCCTTATTTTTGTTGCCTATTTTATACGAAATGATTATCAGTTTCGGCACGAAGTAATCCAATAACAAGTCCAACAGCAATAGTACCTGGCATTTTTATTGGATTATTCATGAGTGGAACATTACTTTCAAATGGATATATGTCGAATAAATTTGATTTTCAAGCTTACGAAATGCCATTTGGGAGAAGAAAGTTACTTTCTGCTGAACCACTTGGTGGACCACCATTTTTTTACGGTTACTATGATTTGGTTAGTGCAATTTCATGTGCTAGCCTTCTGTTTTAAAAAGCTTGGACTTGAAAATTTAAGATTTATACGTTTTGCTATTGGCAAAAAAGGAGAAATTATTTATTTTTGTATAAGAAATTGCTTTGTTTTTAGCTCGGCTATATAATTGGTTCTGTAGCTGCAACGTGTTATTTTGCCGGTCGAATTCCACAATTACTAAAAAATTATTACCGTCAGTCTTGTGAAGGTATTATGTCATAGCAACAATATTAATTTACCTTTCTCATGTACTTAAGTTGGATTAGCGCTAAAAACTTAAGATATGCACTTTTTGCAAAAAGGGGAGTACTCTGAATGAAGGGTTAATTAAACAGAATTTTCCAGCGATTAATATGCTGCTTTCTGATGTAAGCATTATTTCACATTTTAATCTATTGTATTGTTATTGGAAAACAGTTATATGATGGTTTCTGTGCTTTAGCAGCATAAAACTAAACCTCTATAAATCATATAAATTAGATCTCCATATTTAGAAGTTTATTTCGAAATAGAAATTTGAGTGCAAAATAGAAGATTTGCTTTTTTAGGTCTATCGTTAATTATGTTCTACATAATTATAGCAGCAAATGCTACATATGGATTATCTGTGAGTTTTCCTCGGCCATGGTCAAGTTTGAAACATTAAATAATTAGAAGCTGAAATGCTATCATGGAAGTATTATAGTTAATAAAGTAATACCTAAGAAATTAAAAAATTTCATTCTATTATGAATGTCGAAGGCCAGTTCTCACAGTGATTTAATGGTATCACGAATTACAACTTTCCTTCAGAAGCAGAATAAGAGAGCAAGAAGCAGCATTTTATTCTTTGCTCTTTTGTAGCTTAGTATTAAGTTTTCATGAATTTTAGGTTTTATTGGAAGCAACTAATTGGCATTATATTTTGCGTCATTTACCGTGGTTGGCAGGGAGCTTAGGTTGTTGTATAATCGACATTATTGTGGTTATGCAATACTTCTATTATGTTCGATTAAATTATCAGAAGGATATAATGGAGCGTGAGGCATTATTGGACGATGCAGATTAATTTTATATTAATCTTATGCATATTATATTTGTGATTCACAATCTTTAAATTCAAATGGATAATTTTACACAGAATATTGATTTTTAGAGCTTTAAAAAAAAGTACAAGAATTATAGCTATGAAACATTAAAAAAGCATTCATCTGTTGACCAAAAAATTTTTTTCCTGAAAATTCCCTTGTTTTAATTTTCATACGTTTACATTAAGAAAGCGCTTTATCGCTTTTTTATGGTTGGTTTTTCCCTTATTATTAAGAAGCCGGAAGGAATAGGCGATGCTTAAATAATGATTTCATTACAGACTTTCTTTACTCCCACATTTTTGATATTCCTCATAATTTCCTGAGAAGAGCTGGACTCGTAGTTAGCCAGACTTTGTTGTGAAGCCAAAGATTGGGATAAAATAATTCCGGATTTTTGATGCTGACACCCACTATCGACTTTTTTTCTGAATGACTAAGTATGTCTCAGGAGATGCAACCGTTCCACATGAGCTGTAATTTTAAATTACTACATAATTATGCAGTAGTTCCTAATTTCCATTAGAAAACAGTACATACCTACAGATTGTAAAGGTTTCTGATTGGATATGCAGGATGTTGTGATCGGTATGTTAAGTTACGGATTGTAGTCATTGCTGCTCCTATGAATACTTGAATATTGGCAAGAAGGTTCTGAAGTACTCACGAAAAGATGGAAAATGCATGCGTTGACAAATTCGTTTGCTGATGACAAGTATTCCCACATGTCGTACAGGTCATATCGAAAACTGTTAGTTCAGTAGTGTTTAAATGATTCAAGGAAGGAAGCAAATGTATTCTCTGCGATGTTTTTAATCACTTCGCTCATCATCACTCAGTGAAGAAACTTTGGCAAGATGCAGTGCAGGAAGAGGAAGCATCGCGCAATGCGACTACAGATGTCAGCGATGAATACTTCTGATTTAATGTTACAAATACTTGAAGTGGGAAGGTATTATTGCATAGTGGCAAGTTTGATGGCCCAGGATAGTGAGGGATGGTGGGGTGAGCATAGTTCGGTTTTTCTTCATATGGGTAGGTTGGTGTGGTGTTGTGGACGGGGGTGTGAGTATGGTCAGTGAGTGTTGATGAGTGTGGATGTGACTTTTGACTGAAAGGTGGAGGAGAGCTGTTTGTAGATGCAAAGCGGTGCACTGGAATGAGGATGCGACAGAATGTGGAGAATTTTAAATGATTTGGTATTTTAAATATTCTGTAAATTAGTGCTATTTGGGTTTCTTTTAGTTTCTGTACACTGATTAATCAGTTTTGTTCGAAATATGGGGGATGTTCCGCAATGCGTATTATATGAACATGCTGTCGGATATGTATTATTCCGTGTTGCGGAATTTGAAGATATTGGAACGAGTATTCCTCAGGTTCTCATTTCTGTTTCCAAATGAAATTTTTATGCTTTTGGTAATCCTTTTTTCAATTTTAGTATTCTTTTCATTCTGTTGCCAATATAGAACAACACTTTAGGTGGAAGAGTGTATCGCTGATTTACAGCGGTTTCGTTCAATTGTTAAAGTAGGAGCTTTCGAGCCTTTTAAAAATACTGAGTCTGCACTGGAAAACTGTAATAGCTTATCGGAAGGTAATTATCTTTCTCCGACATACATGTTGTAATTTTAGTTTTTTTAAAATTGTTTTGTTGATTTCCTTCTTGATTAATATTTTTATTTTTAAACTTGTAATTAGACACAGAATGTTAAAATGCTATTAGAGTTGCAGAAAAAGCATATGTAACATCTTTTTTAGGTCACTTGCATCCAGATTTACTTAATTTTCTGGAAGCAAATTTGCCAAGGAAAAAAAAGAAGGTGGTTACACTTGCTGTTGGTGATTCGAGATTGGCTAGTGCCATAAGCGAACAAATTACTGGCATAAAGTGTCAAATTTCTGGAGTTGTGCCAGAACTTATGCGTGGTATACGCATACATTTCGAACATCTTGTCAAAGACTTACCTCATCACTCGCTTTCAAAGGCTCAGCTTTCACTCGGTCATGGTTATTCGCGGAAAAAGGTATGCATTAACGTATATTGTTTAATTTATTTTTGGTTTCAAAAGGAATATCTCCATTTAATGCTGGTTTCGTATTGCGCTGCAGATTCAAGAGGAACTATGGATTTTGATATCTAATGTTTTGAAGGTTAAATTCGATGTGCATCGAGTGGACAATATGGTTATCCAATCAATTGCACTATTGGATCAACTTGATAAGGATATTAATCTTTTCGGGATGAGGATTCGGGAGTGGTGAGTCCAGTGAAGGATTGTTTTTTATGAAGTACTTCTTAACCAAATGTGGCATAAATTATTACGGGTAAGGCATTGAAATAATGAAATATTCAAAGTTTTCTAGGTATTCATATCATTTTCCCGAGCTTTTTAAATTGGTTCCTGATCAGTTAAATTATGTGAAATGTGCATCCATTATAATGGACCGAAAGAATCTTGATGATGAGGTGGTCGGAAAACTGAACGGTTGGTGTTTATGGTTTATTTTTATTCCTGAACTTAAAGCTGTCCAGACAGCTGTCTGGACAGCTTTAAGTTCAGGAATAAGCGCTATATTGTCAGTATTTTACTTCTTGTGTTCGGTTATATTCATTCATGTTTTCAAATTCGAATCTCTCAATTGACCACCACCAATTTATTGTCATTAAAAAAAGCTAAGGATTACCATTATAAATGACTCAAAATTATTTTGAGTACTGCTGAAAAAAAAAAAACTCGAGATTTTTCACATTTTTTAGTGAGAAATCTCGAGTTACGACAAGGTATACATTTCTTAGATCTCCAAACAGTAGATATGTGTTTTGAAATAAGTCTTGAATTTAGTGTTTAGTTTTGTGGTAAATATCTAGAGCTCATTCACATGAAAATTTAACGTCACTGTCCGAACTGTAATAGCTTGAACTTAGTGTAGCTTTAGGAGAAATGGCAGCATTCAATCTCATAACACGGAAGTCTTCAAAGAAGCTTGGATTTTATAAGCAGTATTGTAGGAAGGTCTTCGCATTTTTCAGTTTTTCAGAAGTTTTGGAAGATAATGATAAAGTAGTAGAAATAGTGGAAGCTGCACGAACATCGATGGGAATGGATATTTCTGATCTTGATTTATTTAATGTTCTTCGTTTTGCAAAGCGTGTTGGTGAACTAACAGTTTATCGTCAGGAACTTCACACATATGTCAAAGAGCGTATGCATTCATGCGCGCCATCACTTTCAGCATTAATTGGGGAACAGGTAATGAAATTTGGCAATTAATTTTACTTTAGGTAAGGGAGGATTGCATATCGCTGAAAAAAAAAAAAAAAAAACAAAAAATAAGCATTGATTCTATTTTTTCAGAATTATGGAACATAATCAATTCCCGAGACCAACGTTTTAAATTTCTGATCATTTGAGTTACCTTTTTTTTTTTTTGCTTTAATAGATATTTCTCAGGTCGGTGCCCGTCTGATTTCGCATGCAGGAAGTTTAACAAATTTAGCGAAATATCCAGCATCAACTGTGCAAATACTTGGAGCAGAAAAAGCGCTTTTTCGTGCACTAAAAACTAGATGTATGTTCCTTTTATTCAGCTGCAGTGATTGACTGTGCATTTTTAAAATATTCATGGTTCGCCATTACTGCATAGTTCTATGTTTTTGTTTCCTTTTAAAAATCTGATTATATTATGTTGCAGCAAATACACCAAAATATGGTCTCCTTTTTCACTCTTCTTTTATTGGTCGTGCATCTGCCAAAAACAAAGGTCGCATATCACGTTTTCTTGCAAATAAATGCACAGTGGCTTCTCGTATTGACTGTTTCTCTGATGTACCAGTGGCTACATATGGTGAACATCTCAAACAGCAGGTTTGATACGGCGATGATAGTGATGATAATTGTATTTTAAAGATTTGAAACTGTAGCTTTTTGTTTAGCGTAATAGTTTCATAGGCGGTTTGTTTAGATACTACCTAGCATTTTTTTATGTTATTTGTTTCATTTTCTTTAGGTAGAAGATCGTTTGAAATTTCTGGAAAGTGGTATAATTCCAAAAAAGAATCTGGATGTAATGAAAGAAGCGATTGAAGAAGCAGCTACTGTAAAAGTAAAGGTAGGGCCATGTCCATTTGCTGGTAAAAAGGTGTTGCTCAGAAAAGTCGTCGAAGCAGGTTTTCTTGCAATTGACTTGTAAGAATTTATTTCTGCTTTATTTATAGATTTTGAAAAAGAGAAAGAAGGAAGCGAAAAGGGCTAAAAGAGCAGCTGAGCAACAAGAAGATTTTGATACTACCCAAGGGTCGAAACCAGATGCTGATACAATGAAAATAGAGGATGAAATTGTTAAGGAGGTATGGAGGCATTGTTGTCCTAAGTTTTTTTGATTTTTTGTCTGATTTCTCAAGCAGAATTACAAGTTGTTAGTTTTCAATGACTGATGTTTTGAAATTTGTTTGTGTAAAATATTTGAAAAATGGTATTGGTTTTAATTCTTTTCGGTAGAATATTCAAATTGAAATTAGCTGTTTATTACAAGAAAACAGTTATTAATATATATAACATACTTGTACGTTATGTTAAACAGCTGCAATGCCTCCAGAAAACCAAGAGGCCGAAGTTGGTGTTACATGAAGAAGGCATGGACGGTGGACAAAAGACAAATAATGATGAAAGCGTCATAAACAATGGGCACAAAAAGAAAAAGAAAAGAGAAAGCTCAGACGTAAGGGATGAGTCCAGACACAGGGAAGAAAGCGGTAGTTACTTTTATCTTATTTAAATTTTCTAAATCAATTTTATGATTATTAATGAATTATGTGGATGCTTTTTATTTGGTTTACCAGTGCTATAATAGAAGTAATATAAGTTGGTTTTTTAGATGAATAATAAGTAGCCTCCATCACTGCTGCTAATAGTAATAGTAGTGAAATTAATCAAATGCAACATATGAAGTTAAAGTAATCATACCTTATTATAGTATCATCATTTAGCACAGATAAGGATTTATATGGTCTTAGGAATCTGTGTTTACTGATTCTATGGAAAGGAACTATATATTTAGGAGTAATGAATGGAGAAAGCAGTTCAAAGAAAAAGAAGAAACTAATGAAGAAAAATGATTCAGAAATAACAGAAAGTGGTGATAATTTGCTTGAATGTTCTAAGGGTGCACTCCTAACTTTAAATGAGGGAGGGGATCACAAAAAGAAGAAGAAATATTTGATGGAGCAAATGGAATAATATTGTGAATGTACTGGTCTCTTTTTATGTGTTACGTGTTAAATTTTTTCTTTCGACGTTAATTTTTTTTTTTTTTTTTTTTTGGAACTTTGAAGTTGTTTATTTGGATTTTAGAAGCACAGATGTGTAAAACTTATGAATAGCTACAAGGGTTTGCTATGGACTGCTTGTTTGGAAGTTGCAATTCATTCCCGCACAGTTGGTTTACTGGTGGCAAGTTAGATTTTCAGTGTATGGTTTTCCGAAATTAATATCTAAGAGAATACTGTTTCAACTTGAAAAACTGGTCTGAAATTTAAAAATAATATCTTGTTCAAAAGTTATGTATTTTGTACTTTTCATTTGAGGATCAGGAAGTAAATTTGTTGAAGTTTGTTTGTTGACACTCTGTTCATTTTTGTATTTGTGAAGAAAATAGGATGTTATTTAAATTTAACTTAGTGTGACATAGAGGTTGTAAGGTAGTGACTTTGTGCTGTCTCGGGTTTGTCAAAAAAGTCCGTTGGTTAGCCGGCCAGATTTGGATGAAACAACTAAATGTGATTTAAAGACACTTAAATTTCATTTTTTCAATAGCTGTTTTTTTCAGTTGTGCAATTGTTTTTTTCAGTTGTTTTTTTCAGTACCAGCAAGTGTTAAGGCACAACCAGTTGTAATGGGGAATTGGGACTTTATACATTTTCATAAAATAAAATAGCTAGGATGGAGAAAATATTGTGCCCAGGCAAATGTTTTTCTGGAATGGCAACAAATGAAGAATTGAGTCAGTGATCACTGGGACTGAACATCAGTCCTTTTTAATTCCAGAATCGGGTCTGTTAATTCCGGTAAGGATAAAACAAACGCTAACAGTATTGGTGGGGATGATATGTTTTCATCTTTTGCAGGTGTTTGCCTAATCTGGCAATGTGTGTTCTCATTTGGTGCATTGCTTCGCTGCACTGCTTAAGCCTATTAATGCTTTGATGTAGTATTCTATGAAATGCACATTGGGCTAGATGAGATGTGAATTTATTAATGATAATCTATTTAATACGCTGACTGTTTTCTGGATGTTATTGCTCCATTAACTTCCCAAAAACTTTTAAACTATTTCTATGCTTCATCCATTGCCAAGTAAGCTATTGTTGTTGGGAATTTTATAATGACGCCAACGCCTCTCCCGGTCAGACGATGGCTTTGAAGCCCATTGTGGAACTCTTATAGTAGTCGCTTTCTCTATAGCCACTTCTGGGGCTCATATGCAAAGGATCGATACTGCAATGGCTTCTGATATTCCGTGGAACGCACGCATGCACACATAAATATACGCATCTGCAACAAACTCACGGATCGGGAAGTAAGGCTACTTTGACTAGTAGTTGCGCTAGCAACTTCATTGTAATTATCTTTTTATTATTCCAATGTTATCATTTTCAAAATCGTGCAGTTATTAAAAATTCACGTGACCTATACAGGTAAGTTATTTAATTTTTGTCCGTTTTCTTTCTTAAGGTGTACACGGTATAATTAGGTGGCATCTCTTCATTCATCCTTTTTTATCCTTTTAGAAATGATTACCCCTCAGTTTCACAATAATTTGCAGATATTTTTAGTTGTTTGCTTTTAGTGTTTCATTGTATCCACTATTTATTGCATCTCAAGTTAATTTTTGAAATATATTAACTGTAAGAATTTATAGGGTGAAGGGTTAAAAGGACGAATCCAAAGTGAAGCACGCTTTACTAATGCAATCAGCCTTTTTCTAAAAGTTCGGATTTATGTTCTTGAAATTGGCTTTTGATTCAATATGTTTATCATTAACATTTGTGAGTACTAGTAATGTTGTTATACTGATCACTTATTCAAAAATTTAATTACCAGCTGTAAGAGACGAAATTGATTCTCTCAAGTCTAAATAAACATCACATGGCAATAAACTGACTGTTGGTAATCTATCTAAAGGATGCATAAACATGACATGAAGTAATTATGATAACCAATATTAGAAATTAAAAGAATATGTGATAAGGGACTTAATCTGATTGCTTAATTATAATTGATAGTATGCCAGAATTATAATGTCTGACTGTAAGTTTACCGCTTGAGTGAGAGAAGTTAGTTTGAGATTGTCGACCAGCTAGAAAATGCTATGGATAATAATTAGACGATATAAGTTTTACAGGAATTTTATTAAGCGCTAAGCGTCAATCAATATTTCATTATCTTACACAAACTTATATTGCAGCGAAGGTGTGTACTTGTAAAATACGACAGCTTGAACTCACTGAAATCAGGGCAAGATATAAGTTGTTGTGGGAGCCATCTCAGTCAATACAAGGGATCAATCTTAGTTAGTTTCACTTTCCGTTTTCTCCGTTTTCTTAAAGTTTTCCATTTCATTTAAACTTTTTGCTTGTAATATTTTCACTGTAAAATTTCTCTGACTTAAGTACCTGCATGCATTTTAAGCACAAGCTATTATTACTCAATTATTACTCAATATCAAAACGTTTACTCTTTCCTTCTGTTATAGTTCGAGTAAATGCAGCCGGAATTTCATGAAACGCTGCTTTTCAGCAGTATCGTTAGAGTACGGTCGAAGAATAGGCGCATTTCTCAGTGATTAAAATTACAAGTAAAATAAATAACTCTGACCCGATCTAGATGATATGGCTGCTCAATCGGTAAATATATGTTGATTTCTTGTCTTTTTTGTTTTTTTAAAGTGATCTACATTAAGAGCACCTTACAGTCTTTGTCATGTTTAGGGCTATGTTTTAAATTTGAACTTATTTTTGAGAGCGGCCGAATACCACTAGAGCACACGTCGGATTATCGAGTTGCCGTATTTGGTGCAGGTGGCGTTGGTAAATCATCCATTGTACAACGTTTCATCAAGGGAACATTTAATGAAAATTACATCCCGACTATTGAGGACACTTTTCGACAAGCTAGTTTTTGCTGTTGTAATCTTGCCGATAGGAACTCGGTTTTAATTTATTCCAATGAAATGCATGCAACTTGTGCAATTTCACTTGAGAGCTAGATACATCAGGAGTGTGGATAATACGGACTTTAATCATTATTTAAGTGTGATTATTTAACAAGAAATTGAGAGAATTTTCTTTGGAAACTATTAGCTCATATTCTGTTTATTGTTAATCTAACTACGGACCAGATTAACGATGGCTAACATCATATTCTCAGCTAACTTGCATAAGAGTGTCTTAATTTGCATCAAAATTCTAAATTTGTACCTAATTCCATTGCTTCGCTATCATATTAGCAGTGAGATGGATAAACTGGATTTTGGGATGATCGATTTATTTTACCTTTTTAAACTCATTTTTACTTTCCCATGTCTAATATTAGCATTCTTATTTGAGTAGTGTTGGAAGAAAAATTTGTTTGTACAAGGCGTAATTAACAAAAATAAGAAAATCTTCTTTTCTGTTCTTTCAAGAAAAAAAGAAAAAATTGTTTTCAATGCAAACTGCAAAAAGTAGAAGGCTTAACAACAGTACAGGTTATACATAGTCTTGCTTAACTACTTCGAAAGGAATGCCTAGAAAGAATTAAAGATTTTTCATTGAGAGAGGAAGTTTAATACCATGATTTAGATTAAATTAGCATTTTGAAGTTTTGCTTTCTTCAAATAGACCAATCTATTATGAGCTATCAAAAGATGCAGATTTATAAGATTTCGCTTTTTTTCTCAGATTCATCAGTTCCCTCCTGCAAACTAACGACGAATAGATTTTAAAATTGCTGTCCTGACAAACCGTTGCGATATAATTAGCGGCAAAAAGATTTCGAGGCAGTAAAAAGCTACCCAACTTCCAATAATATTTCTAAATTCAGTTTGAGGTAAGTGTCAATGGGAGATAATATTTCAGGTGATAAGTTGTAATCATAAGAATGTATGTACATTACAAATTACTGATACAACAGGCAGCCATCAATTTCCTGCCATGCAACGGCTTTCGATCAGCAAAGGAAATGCTTTCGTACTGGTGTATTCTGTTACAAGGTTATTCTTACTTATTTTTAAAATATTCTTCTGTGATTTTATGACTAGCTGCAAAAGAGTACAGTGTTATTTGCATAAATTTTTTCATTTACCTATCATTAGAATAAGGGATGCACTGCCATGTGAAAAAATGCTATCATTGATGTGACATATTTCATATATTACTATGACATATTTCAATGTTTGAGTTTTCAGCAAGCAAAGTTTAGAGGAGCTTGGACCTATATTATTGATGCTAAAGGAAGTAAAGGGTGAAAACATTACTGAAGTGCCTATTATGCTTGTTGGCAATAAAAAAGATGAAGATCAGGTAATCCATCCCGTTATTTCTCTCTCCTGTAGGCTAATTCACTATTTATTATCTTCTTAAATTATATAGCTATAGTTTAAGGGATAAATCGGAAGTAATGTTATGCCAGGCGGATTTATGAGTCAAAAGAATCGCTGAGAATTTAGTGCGACATAATTTTTCAAGATACAGATTAACTCGCACATAAGATTTATTTCGCATAAAAAAATTTTGCGGGATAATATGCTAGTTTCTAGATCAGCAGAACAATTCCAAGTAATTTGTAGTTACCTTGTTAGTAGAATAAGAAACATGAAAAACTATTTCTGTCAGTCGAAAGGTTTCTTTTATCAAATTTGATCTATTTTATTTTAATTCTAATGAAGCGCACAATTTTCAGCGACGTGAAGTGAGCTCTGAACTTGGACAAAAATTGGCCACGAAATGGGGAACTGGTTTCATCGAAACGAGTGCAAAAGACAATGAAAATATAACTGAATTATTTCAACGCCTGTTGGCGATGGAAAAAAAACGAACTTTAGCTTTGACGATGGATGAAGAGAGCGGTAAAAGTGGCTCAAAAAGGAAATGCTCTCTAATGTAATTGTTACTTTCTGGAAAATCGACAACTTTTCGGATTTCAAATATAAGTATTCTAGAAAGAACTGTAGTTATTGTTTTATAATTAATTGATGCCAG